ACCATAGGTTATGGTCTTTTGAATCTTATAAAACTCATGAATTCATAAGAATGTATGAATGCAGATTTAATCAATAGATCACCAAGGCCTGCAAAATGTTTGACAGACCAAAATTGCACTCCAGGAGCAGTTCCTGCCCATTAACTGTATATTATAAGCTGCATATCAAAATGCAAGCCCATTGGCAACTGAACGTGTATTTTCAGAAATTGATTGAATGTGAATTTACCCACTAGAGCAGAAAGACTCCAAAAGAGCTATTCTAGCCTGCTTAAAGCATAGCATATTTTAAAGACTTAGCTAAGTTATATACTTTCTCTGAGGGCTATAAAAGAATTTTATACTTAGTGTAATAGGGAAAATTTTTTCCAAATATAGATAATCAGTGAGTTTACAGTGAACATCCAGAAAAGTTGGAAAATCCATCTGAAATTCTGGTCATAAATGAAGCAGACTATAAAGGGGTAGGAGCAGGTGAGCCTGTTCTTAAGTGGAGTATCATTAACTGCAAGAGGGTGACATGATGTCAGGAGAGGCAAAAGGCAAAAATGAGATACTGAATGACTTGTTTCTTAGTGGTGGTTTCCTATACACAGGGCACTCTGCACTGCAAATAAACAAGTAGGAGAAGTATGGTATAGGTTTTGTAGTCAGAACAAATGGGTTTTAATCCAGGCTCACCACTTACTAGTGTAGTAACCCTTGGCAAGTTACTTAACTCTCTAGGGCTCAGTTTTCTCATCTTCAATATGGTGAAGATGATGTAAGATTAATGTTAAAAACCAATAACATTGATATGCACCAGTAAAAAATAGAATAATTCAAAATATGATACCATCTATAATAACATTACATGGCACATGTAGGAATAAATGTAACAAAAGATGTGTAAGTTCTAGGGAAAATTGATGCTATGACTGACTATAAAGAAAACCCCAAAGAATCTCTTGATAAAGTCTTAGAAATTAAAGTAGAATTTACCAAGAGGCCAGGTAGATCAAAAAAGCAATAGCATGGCTATACATAAGCAAAAAATATCCGGTAAATGTAACTAAAAAGATGATACCACTGCTAATAGCATTACAAAAATCATGTTTGTTGAACTAAATCTAAAAAAAAAGCTAGGCAGTCTTCCTGCAGGGAAAATCATAACAACACTTAAGTGACAGACATTGTTTAAAGCACTAAATAAATGACGTGTTTGCCATAGTCACGAATAAGAAGATTTAGTATCATAAGATACCAGTTCTTGCACAAAGTGATCTTTCTACTTAACTGAGATCTGATCAAAAGCCCAATGGGATAATCTGATTCTACAATACATAAGGAAGGACAGAAGGTGAAAATTCTGAAAAAGAAATGTCAGGACAGGGACTTGCCCTCTCAGATATCAAGATTTATAATAAATTTGCACTATTTGAAGCAGTGTGGCACAGGAATATACTAAAGTCTAGAAACAGACTCACACACGGGACTATAAAATGGATTAGTAAGCCAGAGTCGTGAAAACAGGAAGAACTGTTTAAGACATGGATCTGAATAAAATGACTATTCATATGGAAAAACAAAGAACTTGTACCATTACCTTATACACTACACAGATATTAACCGCAAGCAAATCAAGTACTTAAATGTCATAAGCAGTGTTTTACAATTCTTTGTAGGATATAAGTGAATATATTTATGATATTGAGAAAGGGAAGTTGCTTAAACTAGAAATAAAAAGTATTATTATAAAGAAAAGATTGATAAATTTGACTATATTAGAATTAAATTTATATTCCCCAAAATACAACATAAATACAGAAAACAGACAAGTTACAAATTGGAAATATATATATATATATATATGTATATATATATATATATATATTTCCATATAAATACATACACATATGTATGTATTTGAAACACATATAACCAAAGATAATGAAGAAAATATAAAGAACATCTACAGATCAAGAAGAAAAGGATAATCCAATAGAAAAATGAACAAGAGACATTGGCAGGAATTTCAGAAGAGGAACTCATAGGGCCAATAAATATAAGAAGAGATATTCACCTTTTTGTCATTAGGGAAAGCAAATTAAGACTATATTACCATTAAATACTAATTCAATTGGCAGAAATTTAAAAATCTGAAAATACCAAATGTTGGAGAGGAAATGGATCTATAGGAGGTTCTTTACATTGCTGGTGGGAGTGTAACTTGTAAAGAAAATTTTAGGAAAGAATTTGGCATTGTATTGTGAGGATGAGTAATCATATACCCTAAGTATTCCATTCCTAGATTCCCATCCAAGAGAAACTTTCACTTGTACCAAAGGATATGCACAAGAATGTTCACAGCAATATTATTTATAATAGCAAAAATATTGCAACAAGCCAAGTGCCCATCTACAGGATAGCACATGACTTGTGGCATACTTACTCTATGGAATATTAAAGAGCACTCAAAACAGATTAACTATACCTACACGAAACAATACTGATGGATCCTAGCAGTATACTATTAAGTAAAATGAAAAGTAAATCCCATAAGAGGAGAGTCTAACTCCCTTTCATGAGTAGAAAAAAACAACAACACACCAAAAACTAAAAACTAAAAATACTTTGTAGTAATATATCAAACTAAATCACAAAATTTGAAGAAATGAGAAAGAAAATCCAGGCTGATGGGAGGCAGAGGGACAGGATAAAGAAGAAACACATAGATGAACATTAATTATCAAAGTTCTGGTCCTCGTGTTGAATGGCTAGTCAATAGAGGTATAAATAATAAAAAGGAAATGAATTAATATGAAAAGGATAAGAAGGTCTTTGAGCAGGAAAGTTACATGAGAACAAGGTCTATATACTTATGAACTTTCTGCACCCACAGTATCTTGGATATCCCAAAATAGTAATTTCTTTAAATTTTGACAGCTTTTTCAGAAAAAAAAATTTTAAATCTAGCTGATTTCACACTTTTTCAAACCCAGCCGTCATTTGCAATATGAAACATTGGAATAGAATCCCTGATATGAAATAAGCATTTCTTTGCCAAATTTGCCGATGAGGCGTTTAGAAGAGATTCCTTCTAATCAAGAGTCAAGAGCTCTGTCCTTTTAGTTTATTGCCATCAAGGGAAGACAATACCTTAGAGCTCTCAACTGTCTTTTTAAAATTCTCTCTCAGGGAGTACTCACAGTAATATTAGGAAGTAGCCTTTTGGAAGCCTGTGTATTGTATTTGACAACCCATGTGGGAAAATAGAGAAACTTTTAAAGTATAAGTTTAGGGGAAATGTTCTGAAGTTTTGCAGCTTCAATGAATTTGAGTTTCCTTCCTTGTTAGTGTCAAGTGATGTGAGGAAATATGGAAAATGCTGTGATCTTGCTTGAGGCTCTAAACTGCCAACTTAAAAAAGGCCCCTAAGGCTAGAAATGAAAACTGACTGAAACCTGCTGCCCCCAAACCACCACATATCAATGCTCGCATTCCTGACCTAGGACCTCAACAAACCATACAGCATAGCTGTGAAAATTTGCATTTGAAAGTATACTGAACTATGCAATATTTATCTTCATTGTTGCTGTGGTAAAATGTAAAGCTCCCCCAGGTTCACATCACCTGCTCAAAAGATGTATGACAAGGGAAACTTTCCAGGAAGATGTTGTCTGCCTCCTAGATATTTCCAAAAATATCCTTGAAGGAGGACAAAATTGTTCATTAAGACATTCTGTTTTTGTCCATGTAGAAACACAGAATGCCAAGTTCACTTCTCAATAAACAATGCAGAAAGAAAGGAAACTAGTCTTCGTAAGAGGTTCAGTCCTGATAAAATTAAATCTGTAAGATTCCCTAAATTCTGTAAAACTTAAAATTTTTATAGTGTAATGTTAAAGTGAGTCATTGGCTGAGCTAAATAATTTCTATTCTTTCTGAATCACGGAATTTTCTTTATCATTGTATTATATGTTATAAGGGAATTTTGCTTCTTTCTATAAAACAAACCATTCTTAGAAACTCTAGAAGAAGCCTACAACTATTTTTAAAGATGACATGTCTTTGAGAATGTTTTGTTCTTCACTAGGTGTTTATAATGAAAACAAAACCTTGTGTGGCTCTTATAGTGTCAATAGAGCATCTCTTTGTTTTATGTCTCATGCCTAAAGTGCCTCTTTCCACTATTATCTTGAGCTACTCCTAAAAGAAGACATTATACAAAGAGACAGTTTAGGTGGAATAAATACTGGGATTTTCATGCAGCTTGAAATGGCCATTGCTTTGTCACAAAGGGAAAGAGACTTTATCAATTAGCAGAGAAGGAAGCACCTGTGATCTTTAACTACTGGAAGTATTTATTTCTGCAAATATGCATTCATATCTTGCCTCATATTTGCCTGATTAGGATGATTCTTCCCCCGACTCAGAAATCTGGATTCAGTTAAGTTCTCTGCCCATGTATGGTACTCTGTTAAGAACTTCAGGGCCTCAAGTGGAGGAAATCGCAGAGGTTTCTAATTTCACGATGGAAGACATCAACCACAAGAAAATTAGGTAGGTAGCCACTTTGTATTACTTGACAGAATTTTTTTTAAAAATGGTGAAAGAGCAGTTTATTAGAAGAGATAGTACACTTCAAAGGAATAGAAGCAGTCTGAACAGTAGAGAATGGCTCAAGGGCCCATTATTCGAAGAGAAATTACACTCCAAAGAGTTTGGAGCGGGCCAAGCAAAAGAAGCTCAAAAAGTCCCAGAATTTTTTAATATTGCATTAAAATAGTTAAGCAACTCACCAACAGTTCCCTTGAAAGATGATGTTATGTCTGGCCCCATTTTTACCCAAAGATGCAGCCATCTTACCTGGCTTGATGGTATAGCTCATTCATTTGATTCTTCTCTTTGGCTACTGTAGGTACTCAGCTGTGTTTGAGACCGATGATCACCTGATTACCGATAGCTTCCATTTCTCTGTGTCTGATATGGACCACAACCGCCTGGACAATCAGATGTTTACCATCATGATCACTCCTGTCAGGAATCCACCACCAGTCATTGCTTTTGCTGACCTTATCACGGTAAGCAATTCTCAGATCAATAAGCAGCGAAGGCTACAGTGAGCTGGAATCTGCGGCTGTGTACATAAAGGATCTCTACCTAAATTGGCTGCCAAGGTCTTCCCCCAAACTAACGAGGCACTAGCATCAAGATATGCATGGTTTTCAATCATGAGTTTTTCAAAAAGTAAGAAAATAATTATATGCAGAAAATCAAATCATTATACCCACATTATTTAGCCAACAGATATTTATGTGCCAGACATAAATGTAGATGTGTATAGTATTTTGTATGCTCTGCTAGGTATGTATAGTAATGGGAGTAAAATTAGAAATGGAATATGTCTTTGAGGAGTTTACAATCTAATGTTTGTAGCAACTAAAACATGGGGATTTGGACACCATCTCCAAGTCACCCCTTAAATCAAGTTGATACTTATTATTGTAAACAGCATTGACAATTCCTTGGTGTGGAGGGGGAGGCGTGGAGGGCTGGATAATGTATCCTGATCATGCATTTACTCAGACCTGAGTTTAAGGGCCAGTTCTGTTACTCACTAGCTGAGTGACCTTGGACCAATCATGTCATCTTTGTTAGCCTCAGTTCCTTCATCTTTATTACTATTCCTGTTACATAGAGGATTGCTCTGATGATTAATAAAAGAACATTTAAAAACAAAAAAATAACAACAACAGAAAAAACCAGTACAGCACCAGCACATGGTAGGGATTCCATGAAAGTTAATTCACTTTCCTTGTTTTGGTCTCCACACATACCAAATGCCAGAAACGCAAGAGATTTTCTGGTCTTGTCAAGCAGCTGAAAACTGATAAAACTAAGTTATTTCTAAATGGTTCTGATATTCCACCAATTTTTCCCATTTCTACAACTTGCGGCAGTTCTTTGGACCGTCCCCATTGCCAGAGTCAGGATGACCTTCTGCTTTGTAACTTGTCAATCTTTCTACATTTAGCCAAGAGTTGTTCAGAGTAAAGAGACTTGGTCATACCCAGCAGGCTAGCAAAATAACACCAGGCTCAGGTTGCAGAGTGAGCATACCAACAGGGCCCTCAAGGAGAAAGATCAAGCAACTGCTTTTACTTATGCTGATTTATTGTCCTCCTTGACATTAAGATAGGCACTAGCTTTCAGGCATGGTGAGCACTTTTCTTTCTGCACACCTATAAATGAATGCTGTAAAGGAATAAATGGGACTTTCATTCGGGGTGGGAACACCTATAGGACAGTCACCCGCACGGTATCCCAGGGAAGACTGGGTGATGGTTCTCTACCCATGGGGCTTTTGAGTGTTGATATGGAAGGAAGGCAGCCCATCCTCTGGTGCAGCCATGCCGAGGCAGGTGATTAGAATGGGCCAGATCTGCTATATAACCAGATCCGTCATTGAAGGAAGTGCGACTTTGAAGGGAGACACAGACGTCATCGTGCCTGAGTGTCGCTTTGAAAGGAGCAGAAAGATTGCCCAGCTGCAGCAGCATGCACAGTCCTCATCTCTTCCACAGAGGATCTGCTTCCTCAAAGGAGTGAAATTGGTGCTGGAAGGTCACCTGAGGCAGCACTTTGCAATTCAGTTCTTTTTCCCATAGTTATATGCAACTGCCCAAGGCCTCTCTGCGATCTTTTCTTTCTTAGGTTGAAGAGGGAGGGAGAGCCCCACTCTCCTTTCACCATTTCTTTGCTGCTGATGACCATGACAACCTCCAGGGAGATGCCATCATTAGACTAAGTGCTCTGCCCAAGTATGGCTGCATCGAGAACACAGGAACAGGTACCAGCAGGAGCTCTGCGGTAGAATTCTTCCAGGCCTGACAAGAAGGGAGGGTGGAGGGGGGTAACTGCCTCTGGTTAAACCTGGACATGGAGAACTAAAAAGGAATGGCACCATTTCAAAGAAATGGAAGGGAGGAAGGTTTCATCTACTCAACAGAAATTTGCTGAGCGTTTTCTGTGTGCTGGGCACTTTTTAAAACATTAGGGAAATATCAGTAAACAAAACAGACAGAAATCCCTGCCTCTGTGATTCCTTAGATCCTGGTGGGGGGAGACAGATAAGAAAGCTAACAAATGAGAAACTTGTGTACAATGTTAGGAGGTAAATCAAGGAAACAAATAGAGCAGAGTAAGAGGGTTTGGAGTGCCAGCAATGGGGATGGAGGGCGTGTGGATTACACTCGGAATTGAGTGCCAAGGAAATAAAAATGTCTGTCCTTTTATTGCAGTTCTGCTGAACAACAGTCTGGGCTCCCTCTAAGTGTATGACATGAATTGAAATGTGTGCTTGCCTGTTTGTGACCCTCTCCTAGCATCCCTCCCTTCCCACCATCTGCCCTGGACCCCCTGCCCTTGGTGGTTATCACAGAGAAGGAGAAAATGTGTGATATCCATAGGGCCCCTGAGACCGAACTAACTGGCAGTTGAGACAGCTCCTGGCAGGTCACTGTGCTGCTGCCTCTGCCATGAGATTCCTGAATGCTGCACTCGCCCCTAATTGGCGCCCAGCTAGCAGCTCCCACAGAGAGGCCATTCACTGACCGAAGGTGTCTTTGGCCAGCAGGGTGCCTGAGATTTGAGCCTGGTTACAGAAACTCATTTAGCAGTGGTCATGCTTTCAAATAGAAAAGCTTGGACCTTTTCCCCATGTAGCCTCTCAGTGTGTGCAGTTGGATTTGTTTATGGCTGAATTAGATTTATCGCAACAAATGTTTACGCCAGATACAATGGATGTAAAGCTGAAGAAGACACAGCCCCTGCCTTGAGTGGGAGACAGATAGGAAGACTGAGAAGTTATAATAAATAAAATGCCAGGACAGGGAGAGGAGCAAAGCACTAAGAAAGTACACAGGACAAAACAGTTACTTGTGCCTGGGAAGGCAGGAAAAAGTCTAAGGAAGTGACATTTGATTTGGAACTTGAAGGGTCAGTGGGAGTGAGTCACTGTGGGCAGAGGGAAGAGGCATTTCTCGCAGAGCGAAGAGCATGGGCAAAGGGGGGAAATCAGGGAAGAATGGCTGCCCCAGTTTTCCCTTCTCTCCAGATGGTTTCTTATTAAGCCTCCCTAACATGGTTTCATGTTAGCCTGGAATGCATGCAGACAAGTTTTTCACTAGTCCAAAAGTCAAATTTCTGGCAAGCCTAAGCCCCCCTTAAAAATGATTCTTAAACTTTACTGTGCAGGGAGGGCTTGTGAAAACACAGTTTCCTGGGCAGCAAACCCACAGTTCCTGGGGGAGAAGGTTGGTGAGGCCCATATGTTTGCATTTCTCACCAGCACACAGATGATGCCACTGATGCTGGTCCAAGGGCCACACTTGGAGAACCACTGCTCTACATTAGTATGAACCCGGAAGTAAGGAAAAGACATTCAGGAGGACAAATAGTTGTCCCAAGGCACATCACTTAAGTACCCCACTCTTGCTCCGTGGGTGGTAAGAGCCTAGTCTGTTTTATATACATGAAGCTAGCTACCTAGATTCAGAATCCAGATGATCAGAAGAACGTCTTTTTAAAAACACTAGAAGAAGCAGCGTAAACTTCTTGCCAGCAAGACGGGAAGAAACAGAATAATTACGTTGTTAAGTATAAAATCTAACAGCATGGCATCTGTATTCATTTCGTACCAGCACACACAGGACAGGGCCCCCCTTGATTACCTCTAGGGCATCACTGTGAGCTACAGCGATGCAGCCATAGGTGTTCATAATGACAGCCTGCACACATCAAAACTATTTAATTTGCACATAGTATATTCTGTTTCAGAAGGCAAGGAAACACATTATAATAGTAATAATAATTTACATGAAAAAATAGAAAGTACAGTTTTAATAATTGGAAGGGTTGATGCTGAGAGCTTCAGTAACAGATTCACTTGTTGAATAGCTTGTTTTCCAATGACAGAAAACAAGTCATTATTCTATGTGAGTATAGTTTTAGGCATCATTTACTTTGCTTAGGCTATTTTTAACCCAAATAAAGAAGCCACATTTCTAATATTTATAGTGCCCAATGGAAAGAGAAAATAAACATTTAGAGGAATTATAGCAGTTTCTCCTGGAAAACCTAAACTGTATGTCCTAGGATTAGACCCCCTCTATTCTTCTGGTGTCAAGATATATCAAATCTGAGTGCTAAAATTTAAGAAAATTCATGTCATTAAAGAAAAAAAATATTTGTCTTGAGTTATTTCAAACATATTATAAATAAAACATTTTCATCTCTAGTCTTTCTGTTGTGAGGTAAAAAAAAAGACACTGTCTACAATTCAGGAAGTCAATTGGCCTTTTAATTTATGACCTGATCTTTGCAAAGACCCAGGGAAGAGGGAAAGAGAAAGCCTTGTTGCTTTCTTATCTTATATCTTTACTTTTCTTTGTAGATATATCTAGGGAATGTTCGAAGACACAGGGATTTCTTTTTTCTCCTCTCTTTAAGAGAAAATGTAGTAACAATTTAAAATCAATCAATTAGAGAGAGTAGGACCACGCAAGACACAAGTCACCCATTACATAGACAGTGCCTCCCCTTAACCTTTTACAGTGTTTGGGGTTGGCATGAAAGGAATAGTTAGCCAGAGCTAACTATGGAGCTCTGAATGGTACCTGAGTTCTAGTGGTCCCTGAGCATCACACTAGCCCTGGTGGACCATCCCAGGAGCTGAGCTCTGACCCATGCAGAGGTTTCCTTAAGGAACTGAGAGGTCAAATGAAGACATGCTTAAGGAGATACTTCTTAAATTAAAAAAAGTTAACCTTTTCTCATATAGAGAAAGAGCATTCCTCTTGTAGGATATACCAGGTAGAATGGTCTTGAAATTGACTAAAGCTTAAGGTAGAACCTTTGCTATTATGTCATTACTTGCCCTGGCACTTATTTTGTCCAAGATTTCTAACAAAACAACCACTGATTCTATGCTATGTAAAATAATAACATGCTGAGCTCTTTCAGGCATATTTTCTCATTGATTGCCCTTGAAATAGCAGGGTGGGTATATTAATTTATAGATGAGAAATAATGGGGAAAATGGGATTCATCCCCAAGTCTTCCAATTCCTGGTCTTGTGCTCTTTCCATATTACCATCTTCATCCTCAATGTATTTTCATCTTTTGTTGATAATGCTGTCATGTTTTCTGGTGCAGCCTAATAAGCAGGAATTGATGGATCGAGGTAAAAGTTCTCTCTCAATGTTGGCGCAGGTGATCGTTTTGGCCCTGGAACTACCAGTGACCTAGAAGCATCGTTCCCTATACAACATATCCTGGAAAACTATATTTACTACTTTCAGAGTGTTCATGAAAGCATTGAGCCGACCCATGACATTTTTAGTTTTTATGTAAGTGATGGAAACAGTCGTTCAGAAATCCACAGCATCAATATCACCATCGAGGTAAAGACTTTGGATGTTGGAAAAGTTGGGTTTAATATCTCATCATTTGATAGCTTTATGTACATTCAAAAGCAAAGAAGGTTGGATTTGACTTTCAATTTTAGAGGTCAGTGTAAAAATACAACCCTGACCTATAGGAAACATAGAAATGAAGGCTGGCTTTTGGGGATTGTCAACATGGAAATCTGCATTTCCATTTCAGGGTAAAAATCTATTTCTGTGTGAAAACAGTTTGTGAGGGTCAGACAGAGAAATCTTGCCAGTCTCATATTTAAATGAAAACTAACATGACTATTTTTTTCCTGAAATTATTGTATGTAGTTCTATGTGCATACTTGCCTTTTCTTAATTTTTTAATGTATTTATTCACTGAATTGTAACATCAAAGAAACGTATTCCTTGATGCTGTATTTATTTTCATTGGAGAACTCCATAGGCTTGCTCTACCACCCCAAGGAGAGAGAAAGATAAAAGATAAAACTCAAAATGGAATACCCTCTGCTTTGGAAAAATAAAAAACATGGTACCCTTAGCCCCATTCAGGAACAGTGATGGAGGGGGGGCTGGACAGGGGCAGGGAGACAGCTTTAAAAACCCATGCTTTCAAGTATGGGGTCCTCCCACAGATACTATGATGTCCTTAGAATTTTCTAAAACAGTTCTGATTTCAAATAATATGTCCTTTTATCCCCCAAATCTCCTTATACTTGTCTAACTACTTGTCCATATTTTTGGTCTTAAAAATACGATCACTGTACCTATGGAAAAGATCTGAGAAGATTTTCATAGAATGTCCACTCGTTTCTTTTCAAGGGGACATTTTGTTTGTGTGATTTGCTTTCCTTTCAAACTAACCATTTTGATTGGGAATTAAAAATGGTGACACATTAAATGTTATTTTGATAGTGAAAGTTGACACATATTACTCGATATGATATTACCTTCTCTAAATAATGTACTTTTTTTTTCTTAAACCAATATCTGCGTAAGGCCTAATAATTTATGCTTTAATCAGAGGAAGAATGATGAGCCTCCCAAGATGAGCCTGTGGCCCCTCCGTGTGCAGCTGAGCTCAGGAGTGGTGATAAGCAATTCTTCTTTGAGTCTGCAAGACCTGGACACTCCAGATAATGAACTGATTTTTGTATTGACAAAGGAACCTGACCACGGTAGGACACAACTGCTATATAAAGCTTCTTAATTGAAGTGCCCCATGGGTTATTAGAGTAAACACAGATTTCAGTTGGTTATTCCTCTGCCTCACCTGCATATCATCTATTTTTTGCATCAAAATATAATCAAATTCACAGCTAGCTAATATTCTTTGGGGTCACAGTTAAACCCCGGTTGCTTGAAAAGCCTGAATCCTAGGTAATTGGTATTCCTGAAATTCAATTCAGCTGTTTTCTTGCTTTCCTGTAGACCTCAGGCAAAACAGTTTTCAGGGTCTGCATGTCCTTTGCTCAGAGTAGACATTACTGCTTGATAACCCTGGGCCATCGCATGCAAGGAACAGTGTGGCAGCCTTGTTATTAATTGCAAAAGGTGTTCACTTCAGGTTACAGGTGTGCTAAATGTCTTTATGAGCTTGTTCCTTTTGCAAAAAAAGCACTTTTCCTGATTAAAGCAGAGGTAAAAGCCACCATGGGAATCTTCTACCTACTTTTCTAAGTGCCATCCCTCTGGTGTTAGCTAAAGCTCTGGAAGTTTCATCTCTCAAGGGGTGTCTTAGTCCATCGTAAGGCCCATTGGTCTTTTAAAGGTGAAAGTGTTGCTGTTGATGGAGAGTTAATAGGAGAGGCTGTTGGCATTGCATTTTAGCTTACCCTCATTCATTTTCACTTTCTTTAATGAAGCACTTTAACTGTCCAATTACAGTACACATGGCCCTTAAAAACAGAAAAATATGTCTCAGCCCAAAGATGCTTAGTATCTTTCTGAATTTAAAAGGATTCAAAACATATTCTTATCTCCCATCCCAGATGCCCTAGGAGGGAGGCAGCAAGTAAATAGTTCTATTTTTACTTTGTGAAAGGGAAAAAATAAGGTTTAGATAATGAAATGAGTTTGAATTCATCGAGAGAGATTTGGTTTCTAAGCTATTATATTACCACATCCATCTGTGCCTCCTTAAGAGATTTTTAACCAGGAAAGTAGGACTTGATCTTCTTTATTTGTAGATGAGGCCACAGGGAATTACCCTGTGCTTATATTGGGTCGTCGGGAAAATTATGACGCATTTTTGCATTGAAAAACATAGAAAAATATGTCATGACTTTCCCGACGACCCAATATATAAAATGCTAAGTTGTTGGTTATTTATGTGTCTGTGTCACCAACAGCCTCTGAGGCAATTGACTTCCTAACCAGGCTCAGAATAGTTGACAAAACCAGTCAGTGTTTTGGTGCCCTGTATATTCTACCATTGTTTCTTTGTTTTTCTTTACTTATTTCCTCAGGTCATCTACTCCAGAGGAAAAGTGCTTCTGAGCCTTTGGAGAATGGGAGGATTTTAGACCAGGGTTCATCTTTCACCTACCAGGACGTCCTGGGTGGCCTGCTCGGGTACATGCCTGGCGGTCCTCGTGTGGCAGTGGATGAGTTCCGTTTCTCCCTCACTGATGGCCTCCACGTGGACACAGGGAGGATGGAGATATACGTAGATCTGCCTACGGGTGACACCCCCTACATGGCTATTAACCGAGGCCTACAGCTCTCAGCAGGTACCAAAGGCATGAAAGAGAATGGCGGTGGATCTTTGTCAGTGTGTAGTACTTCCACGCATGTGCAGTGGGAGAATACTGAACTCTGTGTTCAGAGCTCAGGGAGACTGGCATTGGGGACAGCTGTTGTTTTAGGGATATTAACAGTTGTGAGTGAAAAATATGAATCTCTGAAATTGTTTGGACAAGATGCCTGTGTCTGTGAATTTGTTAAAAGATTGAGAAGAGTGTATAGTATTTCCAGGACCCTCAAAAACCTTAATTTATCCAAACATTCATGGGCCCAGGTTTCTTGGAACATTGCCACTGTCCAACAAACTCCACAGAAACAAACAACAAAAGACAGCTAGCAGGATTTTCAACATGCTTGTTAAAAAAAAAAGCATGGAGGAACAATTGGGAAGCCATTATGCACTAATAGAGATTATGCAAATAATTGGGAATTATTTGAAATGATGTCTGAGGGTCTAATAGTCACAATTTTGCCTATGTATAAGCAGCACTGAAAGACCTGCCACAAGTGTCATTCTTGCAGTGAGTTTGTAGTAGGAGTTAATTAGGAGCAGGCTTTTTGCCCACAGAACATCTACATCCCACTTTGTTTGTTTGTTTGTCTATCCTTAGTGTCCCATGTATTTTGCAGTAAAAAAATATATGGTATAATGGTGTATGGAAATTTGGAGATTCCAAAAGGTCTCAAGTATTAGGTCTTGGATTTAACTTTACCCTATTTACAAGCTAAGTTAGCCTATTACTGTTTCATGGATGCTGGAGGGAGATATGAGATTCCTCCGTCAGAGACAAGGTACCTTCGTTACTCATAGCACAGCAGGCGGCATCACCATCAACAAGTTTGCGTCAGTTCCCTCTACTCTCTATGCCTCATGTGGTTGGTGCAGAGGGCCCAGGGGGATGCCTTCATGTGCAGTGGGATGCCTTACAGGAGAGAAACACTGAGCTGGGGAAATCCCCCATGTTATAGAAAGCTATAAGCGAGTCTGATATGTGTCCCAAAGGAAGATGTCACCTCATCCCTGGGCTGCTCGCTAAGAATGACCTGGGTAACGAGCGGTCATGCCTTGCATTCTTGGCATTACCTGGCAAGAACATGCATGTACACTCAGGATCCATGGTAGATTGTCACTCCAAACACCAGGATGTGTTACACATGCATCACTAGGATGTACCTTACCAGAATTTATTTAATTTTAATATAAGAAAATGACTAGACTGAAAAGGAAGAGGAAAGGCCCTGAGGAGAGGTATTTGCCTGTAACCAGTATCTGGCCTGCATTCCCAATACCTGAGCAGCCTCAGAGGGCCCAGTGTTTGGGCTTCCTTGCTCCGTAACCCTCTCCATATGCTCTGGCTTCAGGAACAATGAGTTTGACTATTCAGTCTGAGATGGCAACCACATATGTGTGTGAGTTTGTATAAAGCTGTTTTTTTATGATTTGGTGATCCTCCAGAAAGAAAATACATTAGATCCAAGATCCATTATAGGTCTAGAAGTGATTCACATCACAGAACCAGGAGTTAATCCGTAGAACTAGGTACTGACTGTTAGATTGCAGGAGTAGAGCCAGCATAGGAAAAAGAGTTAAATTGGATCAGAAGAGACAAAGGGCTCGGATGTAACCTCAAGGGATGATTAGCAAATTGCAAAGTTAGGACTGTTTCACTTGGGGAAATTAACATTTATTCAGCTGGAAACAGAAGGGCAAGCACCTGATACTTACTTACACCCAGAGAATGTGTGATAATTTACTACCCAGTCTCCTAAAATCATTTGACGTCCTTTTCAAAGGCAAGACGGGGAATTACCTATTCTCTCCCATTCTCTTCTAGGGTCTGTAGCACGCATCACACAACAGCACCTGAAAGTGACAGATACTGACTCAGATGACCGTCAGGTGATGTACATCATGAAGGAAGATCCTGGTGCAGGGCGCCTGCATATGGCAAAGCATGGCGACCGGGAGCGCATCTCCGTTAAGGGCCCCATTCGAAGTTTCACCCAGGCTGACATTCGCCAAGGTCAGCCAGTCCCCTTCTGCCTCCCCAGACTTTCATGGACTCCACCCACAGTGGGACAACGGGCGTTTAATGCCTGGTAACCTATGGCAGTAAACCGTGCACACTTTGTTTTCAGTAAGAGCTGAATTGTAGCTTAGTCTATGCTTTCTTGTCTCCTGAATGTTTTTTGTTTTTTAACTATTCTTCGGGGCTACAACGTGTTCGTCCTTTGACGTAGCATTGATGACATTTGGGGCTATTATGGAGGGGGGAAAAATCATTGATTTGCTGTGATACTAAAAAGTGTATGTGAGAAAGGAAAAAGAAGTGAATTGGGTGGATTAAGGTGAAAATTATGCCTGCCTTAGGTGAACAATTTATATCTCTTTTCAGCTCCCCCAAGAGCACAAGTTAATGAACTAAGCAAAATGGAAGGGCATAAATCGGAGCTGCCTGGGGGAGATAACATAGCTCATCCCTTCTCCAGGAAATGCTGATGTCATGTAAAAGCATAAATGTTAAATGCTATGTAGTTACTGTACAGTGCTTTCAGGGGTCAAGAAGGGAAAAAAAGTTACATATTGGGGGAAGAAAGTAATCCAACATCATGTGATGATGTGCAATTCCATTGAGAGGTGGGAGTGTGCCCCCAAGGAGCAGAAATCAGTCCATGCACTAACAATTAAAATTGTAGCAGCCAAATCCTCATTGGACCTGTCTGTACTTTAATGAAGGGGTGGAATAGGCAAAAGGATAGTAATTCATTAATTATTCCTTGCCCCAGTGTGTCTTTTAAAAAATGAGACCAGGCACCTCTTCCCTGGTTATATTTATGTTGCTAGGGTACTTGGAAGTAATGTGGGTTCACAAAAATGTAATACATTGCACTCCCCACTTTGGGTTCTTTTGACTTCTATGTAGAGTTTATTTATCTTGTTTGTTTATTCATTGGTTTGTTATATCATATGCTGTCCCAAAAATGATTTAAGGCTGTGATGGGAATTGGAAGTGACGCATTCTGGGAGAATGTGGGTGGCAGCGCTGCATCCTCTGTTCTATGACATGGATATATAACAGGGTCACCCCGATGATGTGGGTGTGGTCAGTGCACATGTTCCACATGGGCCATTTTGCTGATCTGGTTATTCATGAGACTTCTTCAGAGTCTTTCACAAAAGCTGAGCCTCAACCATAAGCAATGCTACTGGGGGGTGATTTTATTATGAGGTGTCTTTATGAGGAAGCTCATAGTGAGAAAGAGAAGAAGGAAATGAAAACTTGAGATGAAAATGTCAAAAGCATTATCAAAGTGAGGAAGGTGTTAAATGATTCATTGATATGACTACCAATCAAATTCCCACCTCCCACTTCAGAAATAAGGACAGAAAGCATTAATAGCAAATCCTGACCTTTTTTGTTCTCTTTCCAGGCCACGTAGAATACAGCCACAGAAAAGGGGAATCTGGCGGGAGCTTTGCTTTCAGATTTGATGTGGTTGATGGAGAAGGCAACAAATTGGTTGGCCAGTCATTTTCCATCAGTGTTTCAGGTAAGGCGTCATCAAGTTTCTAAAAACACGTCAGCAGGGGTGGCAGGGTGGCTCAGTTGGTTAGAGCACATGCTCTGAACAAGGTTGCTGGTTCAGTTCCCGCATGGGATGGTGGGCTATGCCCTCTGAAACTAGAGTGAAAATGGCAACTGGACTTGGAGCTGAGCTGCGCCCTCCACAACTAGATTGAAGGACAACAACTTGACTTGGAGCCGCTGGGTCCTGGAAAAACAGACTGTTCCCCTATAAAATTTCAAAAATAAAAAATAAATAAAATAAAAACACTCAGCAGTTCTGTGGTTATACAGTCTACACAGTGATGACCGTGAGGCTGTCTTTCCTTACCTGGCTGATATGGAACTCTGGGATCACATCCCCTCTGCTCTGTGAAGCTCTGGCTCTTTGAGGCACTCTCTGAGGTTCATGCCTAAGAACTATTCTTACCTCACCTCTGGGCACAGGCCCAAGGAGGCCAAAACAGTCCCATTTCAAATCATTATTTCTGCTATTTTTCAGAAGACAAATCCCCACCAGTCATCACTACCAATAAGGGGCTGGTCTTGGATGAAAACTCTGTGAAGAAAATCACCACCCTACAGCTCTCTGCCACGGACCAGGAGAGTGAGCCTGCAAGACTTACCTACAGCATCACCAGACAGCCCCACCTGGGCCACCTAGAACATGCAGCGTCACCGGGTAAGCCTGTTCCTGCTTCGTCAAACCAAAAGCTCAGCTTTAGTAAGTGTCTGGGGCAGCCAAAGTGTGTGGACACATACACCTAGAGTCTGCCTTTATCAGGATTTTTTTTCTGCGTCACTAATTTTGACCATTCTATACAGCCTTGCATTATCCTTAGCACACATAGATGCTCAGTAATTACTTTCTGAAAGTTGATTTAAAACATTGCAATTTTATATAAGCAATTTTGTCTCCATAACTAGATTGTCAATTCTTTTAGGGCAAACACTGCACCCTGTTCTTCTTTTAAACTCTTTGAGCACCTGGCATGGTATGATGCATTGTGTTTAAAAATCTAACTCAGCAAAGAGCAAGTGAACATACTGTATGTATTGAACAATATTCTAGTTTAGCTGCTGCTGGGGAAAGAAGAAAAAGACAAAAATAAAATACAGCTCTCACCTTTCAGAGTTTTCTGCTGTGTGAGATAAGGAACCTCAACAGATAACCATAACTCAGGGAAGGATATGGAAGGAAGGAAGTGTTTTTTAATTAAATTTATTGGGATAATTAGTTAATAGCATTATATGTTTCAGGTGCCCAATTCTATAATGCACCATCTGCATATTGCATTGTGTGCTCACCACAAAAGGGCATTGCCAGGGTGCACAGGGAGCAAGGGGGTGAGGGGAGGCCTCCCTAATAATAAGAGGACATCTGAGCAGAGATCTGAAGAAAGTGAGGGAGCCCACCAAGCTGAGAGATAAGGAAAGAGCATTCCAGACAGGGAGCAGCGAGTGTAAACACCCTGAGGGATCAGGGATCAGGCAGGCACATCACGTTCCAAATGCGGGAATACCAGTGTGCCTGCGGCAGAGTGAATGAGGGAGAGGGTGGTGGGAGGTGAGCCTCCAGAGGTACAGGGTGATGGGGAGGAGATGAGGTAGCCAGACCATGTCAGGGCCCACTGTGAGGCTGGAGGAGGGAGTGTTGAGTGCATATGGTGGGAGGGCATGGAGAAGGATGGACAGATTGGCCAAAATCCCTAATGCAAATTAAAGCAGGTGGCCTAACCTTTTGTCCCCAACTTCCTGGGGGAAGTATGCAGATTAGCACTCTGAAGACCTTGGCTGCATGAGGTATTTGATAACTAATTCATGAGCTAATTTCTTCTGCCAGAATTCTGTCAGGTTGCTGATTGTATCTCCCCAAAGATGAAAGGGCAGACTCTTTGGCTGTTGTGGGGGGCAGCTGCATGCTCACTGTGCAAGGCTTGAACAGGCTCTGAGCTTCATGCGAGGCATGCTAGGGCCTACCTGCTGGTAGGTCTCAGCCTTCCTCTTCCCTGACCCCAGGCTGTGTTTCGACCTGTGTGAGGCTGCTCCGAATTCACCTTTTCTGTGTTTCCAGTCTCAGCCTTCACAGGGCTTAAATTCTGTCTGCCAAGAACAAGTCAGTGCTGCTTAGGGAGCAACCCACTGGTGATCACACTTCTCCCTTCCCTTGGGAAAGCGCCCTCCCCACATAGGGGACCGGCTTTCTCTATCTGGAAGGCTACCTTCCCCTGCCCTTTTCTACCAGGCTTGACTTCCTAATCTACATTGTCTCCCGCCCCCACCAGTTTTTCTCAGTCTGCTGTTTCTAGCAACTCTAAGTAGACAAGACATGAGGATCCAGTCCCACCCTGTTATTCTTGGAAGCTCTTCCCCATGGCTAATAGGGCAGAGCTTCCCTTGGCCCTCCCTCACTACCAACCCTACACAGAGTCCTTTCTATAGCATTTCATCAGCGTTCTCTCCTTCCCTTTCTCCCCTAAGTGAGAATATTCTCCTGCATTTGATTCTTTGTAAAAGTGAAAGGTCTCGCTGTAGAGGAAGTCCATGTTGATGACCTCTCATCCTCTCAAGGCAGCTGGCTACAGCTTAGAGAAGACCAGCAGCATCTTACCACATTTGTCTCAATGGGCAAGGACGTCTCTCCCAGAAGCTGGGGTGGGGCTGGAGTCTGGGCTTTCTACGAAGAGCAGAGCAACTTCTGCCATGCAGGCACGGCACTATTTTGGGACTGGATGCCTCTTGTAATGATCGCTTGCCACCAGTGCTTACACACCTCCTCTTGATGGTTCACTATGAAGTGGAGTTATTCTCATGCTCTCTTTGTTGGTCAGCCGATTGTAATTGATTGTTCTCTTTAGATAGACAGGAAAAGCATGAAGCTCTTCTTTTCTTTCCCTGAGGAGGTGTAGGGAGCCATCTGTGCAGCCGACAGACAGACGCGAACCTCCTCCCACCGAGGAGAGTAACGTGAAAGTCTACTCCCATATGTGCTCATTTCAAGGCTGAGGGGCCACACCCTCCCATCAGAGACCCGAAAGACTTGGGAAACCAGTGTAAGAAATTAAATTATTAGGACAGGAGCTAAGCTGCTGGAATAAAGAGACTCCAAAATACAGTGCCTGCAACAAGAACTTTTATTTTCACTCAGAAAAATCCGGAGGCAGGTGGCCCAGGTGGCTGAGGTGGCTCAGTACTCCTCAGCACAAGGCTCCCCTTTCTGGTCCAACAACTACTGTGATTATTGTCATTCCCCAGCTAGCAGTAAGGGAGACAGTCCAGGGGAACCCACATTCGTTTCTGTTTTTAGGGGTATTACTGGGAGAGCACACATCCTAGTGGCAAGAACATAACCACACAGAGCTGTGAGGCAGCTAGGAAATGTAGACCCTAACTGGGGATCCAGTTGCTTAGCTAATAGTCAGGAGTTACAGTTTTAAAGTAGGGGAGGAGTAATGTTGGAATATAGCAATCTCCAGCACAGCACTGTCTCTCCCCTTCATCAGACTTTTATTGAGCCACAACTGCAGGAGAAAAGTGATGTTGTAGAAGTGGTAGACGTGTAAACAAATATGTGCAAATGTATTTTAGTAGCTGTGACAACATGACAGAGGACAGTGAGTTCCACCTAAGAGAGGGGTGGGGTGAGTCAGCAAAGGCTTCCCAAAGATGATGCTTGAGTAAAAGTATTCTTTGGTTTTCTCTTTGTCTCAGTATTGTGACACTAGCAAAAATAGAATGCACCCAGTGCCTTAGTTTGGGTTCTCCCTGAGAGCAGAGATGCATTAGCCTGTTAGGGCTGCTGTAATGAGGCACCACGGATTGCGCAGCTTAAACAGAAATGTCTTGTCTCATAGGTCTGGGGGCTGTAAGTCTGAGATCATGGTATTGGCAGGGTTGGTTCTTTCTGAGGCAAGGATCTCTTTCCATGGCTTGTAGGTGGCCATATTCCTGTTCACATGGTGTTCTCCCTGTGTGTATAGCTGTGTCGCAATTTCCCTTTTTATATGGACAATCATCATATTGGATTAGGGCTTACCCTAAAGACCTCATCTTAATGAACTACATCTGCAATGATCCTGTTTCCAAATAATGTCACATTGTGAGATACTGAGGGTTAAGACTTCAACATATGAATGGGGAGAGACAGGGGGGGGGGGCATCCAATTTGGCCCATAACAGGAGGCATTGAAGAAAATCTAAAGCAGAAAAGCTGAGAGTCTCCCAGCATGAGCTGGAGGTGAGGACACAGATGGAAGCACAGAGTCACCCACGGCCACGCTGGAAGCAGGAGGACCTGAGGCAGTCCCCTCACTTCCTCTTAGGACAACAGTTTCTTCAAAGATGCTTTATCCCCGCTCCATTTCCCTGACCTGGACTGAACTTTCTCAAACATGTTGGCCTTCCAGGAAAATTGGAAAAACTGACAGGGTTAATGTGGGTCTCCAGCATACTACCTGATACATAGTTTAGCCAGCAGGTTGGTGACTGCAAGCACCTTGGATGGGATTAAAAGCCTTTAAGGTATTTTCAAACTGTAACCACCTGCTGTGACAGCCAGTAGGGACAAAATGTTGTTAAAAAAAAAAAACACCCTCCGGCTGGCCCAGTGGCGAGTTGGTTAAGAACTGGATTGGGACACCAGAGGGCCCGATTCGGATCCCACATATGAGGGCCAGTGACACTGCCCTCCTTAGCTAAGATGCTGAACAACAGCTCAACCTGGAGCTGGGCTGCTGTGAGTCACCAGCAATGGCGTAGGCTGCAGCCCCTGTGGCAGTGGGTTGCCATGGGCTACCGTGTGTAGCCAGCAGCCAGCGTGAGCAGCCAGCAGCCACAGTGAGCTGCCGTCCAGAAGCCAGTGACTGATGTGCCTAGCCCGGGAAGAGCGCAATGATGGTGCCAACTTGGGCCAGTGAAGCAACGTCCTCCACAACTAGACTGAAGAACAAAATGACAGCAACTTGTCTGTTCCCCTTCCCCCAATTCCCCAGCACTGTTCCCATCCCCCAATTCCCCAATAAAAATCTTTAAAAAACAAACAAACAAACAAACAAAAACACCCTCTTGCTGGCAAGTGAGTATCTGAAGCATTCCAATGCCCAATTAGCAAAGGCTCAAACTGAAGGGAAAAAATATATAGAGATTGAAAATCGTCCTCATAGGGCTTCTTAGATATCGATTATAGTGGATAAATTAAATTCATTCACCAAATACGTTTTGAGTACCTACTGTGTGCCAGGCACTATTCTGGGTTCATGTTAGTGAAGAAACCACAAAAATACTTGTCGTCTTGAAGCTTGCATTCTAGATTCAGCCTGTTACTCACTAGGCCTTAATTATGGATATTGCTTAAATGATAAGTATTCCATCAAAATCAGTATTTCAGACAAGGAAGAGGTTATAACCCATAAAGTATTGTATAAGAAACAATTCAATTCACCAGTATTACAATGTGATATTTCAGTGGTAGATCTGTGAGTGGTTTTTGTGATTCTTTAGTACTTTTCTGTGTACTTTACATTTTCTCTAATAGGCATGTATTGCTTTTATATTGAAAAAAATTAAAGGATAAGGGTGATGCTCAAGAGGCCTCTCATCTAGACTGAAGGGGCTAGATGAGTTTTACAAAAAGTACTCCTAGCAGGCATAAACTTTGGGGTTAGACAACCTTGAGTTCCAATCCCAGCTCTGTCCTCGTATTAGCTGCGTGACCTTGGATAGGTAACATTGCTTTTCTATTTGTATTACAGTGTCATAATCTATAAAAATGGAGGTGCTATGCCAACCTTAACTTCCCAGAGTTGTTAAAAGATAAAATCTAATACACATAAAAGCAAACCTGAAACCATGTTCTGCACGTGGTAGATATTCAGTGTTTTCTAGAATGACTTGGGAGAGGCCCACTAAGAGCAAGCCTAGAGCTATCATGCACTGCTGGTAGGAACAGAAAGTGATGCTACCACTTCAGAAAATAGTTTGTCAGTTTTTAAAAAGTTAAGCATACACCTAACATGTATTCCAGCCATTTCACTCTTAGAGATTTATCCAAGAAGAATGAAAACTTAAGCTCATACAAAGACTTGTGCACATAGCATCTTTATTTGTAGTAGCCTCCAACTGCAAAAATCTGAATGTCCATCAACAATTGAATAGATAAACTATGATGTATCCACACAATGGAATGCTACGCAGCAATAAAAAGAAATGAAATATTAACACATGCTACAATATGGATGCATTGTAAAATAATTATGCTAAGTGAAAGAAACCAAGCATAAAACAGTACATACTATCTGATTCTATGTATAAAAAAATTAGGGAAAATACCAACTAATCTATAATGACAGAAACAATTCATTGACTCTTTTGGGATAGGGTAGGGGATGGGAAAGGGTAGGATAGAAAGATTACAAAGTGTCAGCTGGAAAATTTTGGGGTGATGAATATTTTGATTGAGGTGATGGTTTCATGGATGTGCCAAAGCTTATGAAATTGTACACTTTAAATATGTGCAACTTATTATATGTCAGTTTCTTCTCAATAAAATTGTTTTTAGAAAATCAATCCCAGCGCTTCCTTCCCAAGAGGAAGGAAAAAAATCTATCACCTTTCTCAGTCAGTCTTAGACTCTCATAAAGAGAACAGAGAATTAGGTAACCAGTGGATTGTGAGAATTCAGACAAGTATTTCCCCATGTGCTATGAGGATGGAGTCACAGCAGGGTAAGAGGTTTAAATTTCTCAGTGCAGCCAGTCTGAAGTTATTAAGTTTTTAAAGAATGGTATGGATTTCCATCCAGAGCCACAGGAAAAAAGCTATAAGACAGGGGCTACATTTTTATCCTGTCAAGAGCTGATGTAGCACGCACAGAAATATAAAATGCCTCATCAAAAAATTAATGCCCCAATATCAGTAGGCTATTGTATTTGGGTGACAAATTTTAGATGATAAAGAGAGACACAAATGTAAACCATGTAGGTCAATTTTTTTTTTTAAGCTAAAGCAGTGATACTAGTATCACAGCCAAAGTAGAATCTCTTTGGGATTTTTTTACAGAGAAGCTGAACTTGTTTTGCCAGGATTAACAATGACAAATAATAAATCCCAAGCAGCAGCAAATGAATTTCAGGACCAGACTAAGAGATTAGATTAAATGGTTAGTATCCCAATACCCATATCAGAAAGAAGACATTTGTGCTGAGCAACTAAAAAATATGATTCTGTTTCAGTCTTGGCTGGTACCAGAGGATAAGTCCCAGAGCCCTAAGATGGAAGCCAGAATTCTGTGTTAAATGTTGTCGGTCATCTGAAAACATGATGTTATTCACTTGTGGGATACTTTGGCGTTATTTAAAATCACTTTAATTTTTTTTTTTTTTACTTTTAAAACAACTGAAAAAATTTAACATGTTTTCTATCGTGTTGTTAAAAAATACTGGTTTCTAGTCCTTTTAGAGTTGATATAGAATGATTGCCCAAAGCCATGCAATAAGTTTTGTTACTGCCAACCAGGCTAAAGTAGCATATGAGATGCTAAAATCATAGACCTTGAAAGGGACCTTTTAAGAGAGAGAGCTGAAAGGGACCTTGAAGAATATCCAGTGAAATTATAAAGGCTGGGGATAGCTCACCAATCACAGAAACAAGGCTATTTTTAGCAAAGTCCTATGAGTCCAGTGTTCAAAAGTTATATCATATTAAAAATTACACAATATTAAAAATTGGGGCAGGTTTTCAGAAAGGACTATGAGGCTATGGGGGAATGTAAAACTTGAGAGAGAGGAATTTGGAGAATAAAGCAATGGCTCTACCTTTTACAGATTTGACCTGCATACATAAACCTCAATAGAAAGGAGAGTAACATTTATTGAGTACCTGCTGTTGGTTTGGAACATAGTGGAAGCCTAGATAATTAAGTTAACATGTGCTCCCACAGAACATATGCCATTGTAGAAAAAAAAATGCACAAACAACTCTTAACACAAAGTTTTAGGGAGGAGCACATAAATGCTAGGAGAAAAATACGAAGGACTCTACCTGGTGAGAGTACCACGTTTCCCTGGCCTTAGAAGTATGGCTAGCATTTCAACAGCCATTCTCTGTGTCTTTCCTCCCCCTTTGCTAGGTATCCAGATTAGTTCCTTTACTCAAGCTGACCTGACTTCACGAAACATTCAGTATGTCCACTCCAGTGAGTCTGAGGAACATTCAGATGCCTTCAGCTTTACGCTGTCGGATGGAGTCAATGAGGTAGGTGAGGAGCTCAAGCCCCTCCTTGGATGGGTGTTGACTCAGAGCAGCCTTCTTCGAATGGAGTGTGCAGAGTGACTGGTGCTACGGGAGCTTCATGTTCCTCTGCTCTCAGTCAAGGAGAGAGGCAGCTTCTGACAGCCCCGGGGGCTCTTGCCCAAGAGATCTCCCATTTGGGTTCCTGGTCAGTCAGTTGTGCCAGGAATGGTGTGACTGGGAAACTAGAGGGCACCTACTTTCTACTTGGGTGGGTGCTGGGGACAGGTGTCCCACCTGCATTTTTCTGTCACTCCAGGTGACTCAGACTTTCCACATCACTATTCGCCCTGTGGATGATTCGCTGCCCATTGTGCAGAACTTGGGGATGCGGGTACAGGAGGGTGTGAGGAAGACCATCACAGAGTTTGAGCTCAAGGCGGTGGATGCAGACACAGAGGTAAGAGCAGCTTCTCTGGCTGAATGAGAGGCTGGTCAATCTGGTGGCAGAAGTTGCTCTGGGACTGTGTATCCCAAAGAGAGGGCACAGTGTCGAGGTTAGTACAGGTATCCTTGAAGGATTAAAAGTCAGACGACACCATGGCTTCTGGAAAAGAGAAACAAATACATTTGTGATCAAACTGCTTTTACACCCTTTCTGAAACCCTAAATATATTCACCTTCTCCCCTGATTACATGTAACGTTCCTTTTAACATGCTGAATTCTTTTTTTTTTAATTAATAGTTGAGATTTAGTTTTTAAGTGAAACTATTTTATCAATCAGTAAATACATAAATATCAAATATATGGAGCATGGAGAAAGTTTTATACTTACAAATGATAAAAACAAGTCATAAAAGAAACTTCTAAAGATGAAAATTTTGTGCATTGAGAAACAGTAACTAAATTTTCCAATTTATCTAATTTAAGCAAGATTCTGAGGAAAGCATGCTTAAAGCAAAAATAACCAAAAAATTAACATTTTTTTGATACATACCATGTTTAATGAAATTTATAAAGAAAACATGAAAACATCTACTCCTTCCACTCCTGCACTCCCACATACCATACTCACACCTGGAGATAAATAACATGCAGAATTTTTTCATGATTTGTAGAAAATTAGGTGGATGACATTTTACCCAATGTTTTTATTATTCCTTATTAAAGTGAACAAAGATGTTCAGCACCTATACATGCTTCCTTTCTTTGTACCTCCTTTATTCAGACTTCTTTGGATGACAACTAAGTATTACAATTGAGCATCCTCGAAGAACTAGGCGTTACACAGTAAAGCAGGGCACGCACACACAGAGCTCTTATTTTCCTGATGCATTCAGGCATGATTTAGCTCCCATAAAAGAGTACCATGGCATTTATTAATTAGTTCTATGTGCAAACGACCCTGTGCACCAGTGTTCACTCATTTGTTTATTCATTCTTTCAGTAAATAATGACGAATTACTAGTACTGACCTGTGCTCTAGATCCTAAAAACAGAGCTGTGAACAAAACACATAAAATTCCGGCCTTAGGGAGTTTTCAACCTTTGCTTAGTGGAACAGACAATAAAGAAAGAACATATAATATCATGTCAGGTATGGTAAGTGCTATGAATAAAAATAAAGCAAGATAAAGGAGGTAGAGATTTATAGGCATGCTGTTTGAGACCGTGTTCAGGGAAGGCTTCTCTGAGGTGCAGAGATACCGTGAAGTAGGAGAGCAAGCCGTGCTGTCGCCTGCGAGCATCACTGTCTGGGCAGGAGTGTCAGAAGTACCATGGCCCTGTGCTCACATGTGTTTAGGAGCTTTGAGTTACAAGAGGCCCAGCATCTGGAACGCAGGGAACAAGCAGGAAAGTTGGAAGCGTGGGCCCAGCAAAGAGTCCTGGGACTAGGTCCCAGAGGGCCTCGGTGGCCCAGGTCAGGCCTTTGCATTGTATTCTAAGTTGGTGGGGAAATCATTGGAAAGTCCTGAGCATGGTTTTCTACCTCTTTATTTTTCCTTCTCTGTGTTATCCTAGAAGCAGCAATTAGAAACGGGAAATTAACTTCTGTTCTGATGCACAGGGGATTTTGTATATGAGTTTTGGGAAAGTGGGAAGGGATGGATTGAAAGGAAATTAATAGTTTTAAAAGGTCTAGTTCCTATCATTCTGGTAGAAGTTAAAGACTCAGATGTTCCCCTGTGACCCTCAAAAGACAAATTTAAATGCCTTAGTCTTACAACTAAAAGCACCAGAATATAAGTTCAATTGTAGTAACCCATATAATTTCTCTCTCTCCTTAGCTTTATTTTTGGTATGTATAAAAAAAATGCAATCCCTATTTTATAAATGCTGTTGGGTTTGGCTACCATTGACCACCTGTTGGCCATCACTCAGTTATCTGGTTTCTCTTACAAACTTCCCTTCTCTACTTGCTTTTTTTTTTTTTTAACCTCCTTGACAGGCTGAGTCTGTCACATTCACCATTGTGCAGCCCCCACGCCATGGCACCATCGAGCGAACCACCAATGGGCAGCATTTCCGGCACACCTCCACCTTTACCATGGAAGACATCTACCAGAACCGGGTCAGCTACAGCCATGATGGCAGCAACTCCCTCAGAGACTGGTTCACCTTCATTGTTGCGGATGGAACAAATCCTTTCTTTATTATTGAGGAAGGAGGGAAACAGGTGAGAGCAAAAATCAATGGAAAAGGAGGCACAGCAAAGCATGCCACAGGTTGTCCAGAGACACAACAGGGCATTTTTAGACCAAGGATAGCATTGTTTGAGTTCTTGTTCTGTCTCTAAGGAATTGGCCTTAGGCAAATTACTTAGCTTTTCTAAGCCTCAACTTGTCATCTGTAAAATAGGTGCAATAATAGTCACCAGCTTCAGTGAGTCTAGGGATCAAAGGAGGTAATCCACATAAAGTACTTAACACTGTGGGCACATCGTGAGCACTTTCAGTAGAAGTTGATAGTTATCATTATTACTTTCCTTTTTGCTCACCTTTACTCCTTTAATTTTTCTTTCATCTGTTTTTTCAGTAACATCACATGGTCCTAAATAGTCTTTCTCTTTTATGTGTCCCCTTAGCCAACCAGCGTTTCTCAGTCTCATGAAGAATAACAATGGTTAAAAGGACATTTGCATCCAAAAGACGCCGATTTAAATTCTAGCTCTGTCACTTACTGGCTGAGTGTTTTTGTGAGTCATTTAATCTTTCTAGGCCTCAGCTTCCCTATTTGTAAAATGGGGGTGATATCTACCCTTGTGATGCACATAAAGCACTTAGCCCAGGGCCTGCCACAGGAAACACAAGGAACACCCAATAAACCGTGGCTGTAATCATCATCTCTGTCGTCATTTTAGGACCAACATGTGAAACAGGTATAGATGCTTTTCTCTTGAGGTCATGCAGCCATCAAGCTTTACATCCTTAAGAGAATTGCTCCCTTCTAATATTCAAGTGTCTGGAAGAAACATTAAGACAGCCCCTCTGCTCCCTTCCCTGCCATTTTTGCTCATTTCCTCATTTCTTAGCCAGATCCCCTGCTGTCCCATAATCCTCCCCTGGGGATAACTGCAACTCTGGTGAAAGGTAGGCCCACGAATACTCCCACATCTCACGCAGCTGGGTCAGACTTGGGCAGAAGCAGTTTTAGTGAGCTACATAATCACACCATACCACACTTTCAGGATAACAAAAGGGTCCGTTTCTCAGTCCTGCAGAGTTCCTTTCCTGCTCTGATGATGAATGGGAATGATTTCTTTCTGGAAGAAATATCCTCCTGCTTCCTTTAGAGACAGCCAGCCTGTGAGAAGGTCATTCTCAGTTGGCTGAGGTGTCGGTGGAACTGCTCTTGGGATTTCCCTGCAATTTCAGTGTCTGCACGGCATCACCACCTGGCAGCTCATCGCTTTTATTTTTTCTCTCCCAGACTGTGGCTGCTCCCCAGTTAGTCTGACTTTCAGAAGAGAAAAAAAAAAAGATTTCAGGATAAATCAGTAAGAGGGCTATCTCTCTGATAAACATAAAAGGTCACAGTGGGTCTCCAGAGGGACCGTGTTATTTTAAAAATGAAAATAATTCAGAAAGAGGGTTGTAAAAGATTGAAAAGCCAGCATCTGCTGCCCTGTGTGCCAGCTTGCCTTATTGTCTCTGAAACAGTGAGGTGCTGAGTCACACTCAACATGTATGTGTTGTGTATGTGTGTATCTGTGTAAAAATGAAATTATAAACCAAAATTTCTTTTTACTATTTACCTACATGCTTTTATTCTTGATTTCTTTGGCCATTTTCCCCATATGAACAGTTCTTGTTAAAAAGAAGGAAGGGAAGGGAAAGGAAGGGAAAGGAAGAAAAAGAAAATAAAATCTCTTCCCATGAAACATCCTTTCACATCTGGCAGAATCCCAACTGGTGACTTTTACATTAACATTTTGATGATGATTTTTGTCTGCCTCTCAGGAAAATTTTAACAAGACCTATTGAAAGAAAAATGTTTTATCTATTGTTTCACCTCAGGGAAATATTGAACTCAAGTAAAGAATGCATAGGTCTGTGAAAGTCATGTTCCACAGCAGGTGAAATTCCAACAAGAGTGCCACTTGTGTCTCGCTTTTCTTCTCGTATTGTTCCCACTTCCTCAATCAATCCCTTGAGCCTCATGCCAAGTGGTGATAAGTGATGGAAACCAACTCAGTTGCCCATTCTGAAGTGTCAACTGATTTCGGGGGTTCCAGCTTTGTAGGTCCTAGACCTGACATGTTTCAGATGTCTGTGAAACATGAATTTTCTTTTTTGGCTTCCCCCACAGATTATGACAGCAGCACCTCAGCAGTTCCAAGTAGACATCCTCCCAGTAGATGATGGTACCCCGAGAATTGTTACCAACCTGGGGCTCCAGTGGCTGGAGTATATGGACGGCAAGGTAAGGCCTTTCCACCTGCAATGTTCACATTAACCAACTTGGGCAATAGCCTTACTCATGACAATACTTATGAATATAATTTGAGCTCAACTCATGTTTATCCCTCCCTAAGTGAGCTGAGTTTGATTAGGATTGTATATAGTTTAAGATGTTCTTATAAAATGACTTCCAAAATATAGTAGCACAAAGAAAATGGCAGATTAATTTTTCTCACATATAGGATGGAAGTAAGTAGGCCGTCGTCTAGGGCTCCATATGACCCCTCAGAGATGGCAGATTCCTTCTGTCTTATTGTTCTGCCATCACTGGGTTGTTACTGTTGACTGTAGCCAAGTCTCTCCAGGTTTTCATCAACACCCCAGCCCATGGGAAGAGGACAACAAAGAAGTAGTGGGTGAGAAACTTCATTGTAAGCAAGTGATACAGAAATTAAACACATCATTTGCACTCATACTATTCTGGCAAGAAATTGGCCACATGGCCCCGTCTGCTGCATGGGATCCTAGGAAATAGAGCCTCTTGCTGGGCAGTGAGGTGCTCTGCTGAAGCTTTGTTAACTAGAAGGGGAGGATGGATTTGGGGAAACATATGGAATATACCATAAATGGGAAGGAAGTACTTTTGTCGGTGAGTGTCCTCAGAGAAATTCTACTTTCGAGCTTTCTTTTTCCTTCTCCTAAATCTTAATTTGGTCATTTAAAGAGATGCCATAATTCTCACCTGGTGACACGTCAAGCATTAAATCCCTATCCCCAACCCAAACACACACAGTTCGTCATTTCAGTTTGGGAAATGATTTCTTAATTTTGTGTGTGGTATTCCCTCAAAGATGTCAATTTTCTCATTTCCACGGAGCTGATTAGTTGGTTGTACAGCCATACCTTGGAGATATTACATGTTCAGTTCTAGACAACCTCAATAACGCGAGCACCGTGATAAAGAGAGTCGTACTCTTTCTGCTGGTGGAGGGTCTTGTCTTCAATTTGTAAAAAACACAACATCTGTGAAGCGCGATAACATAAAGTACAATAAAATGAGACATGCCTGTGTATGTAGCTGCTGTGCTATAGCTTTTCACTAAAGTAATTGGGATTTTCTTAAATATATGAAACAAAATTAATACAAATTCCTTTTGTGCCCTAATTTATTTTTTCTCCATATTCAGAACCATCTCATTCTTTTCTTGACACTCTTCTAATTGGTTTTCTACTTCCCACTCCTTCCCTACTGCAGTGACTCTTTAAATTAAAGTCACCAATGACCTCTATTTTGCCAAATCCAAAGGTCACTTACATGTCCTTATTTTAACATTTAAAACTGTTGACCACACCTTTTTTCTCTCCAACCTTTGCTCTCACTAAATATTCGTTGATGAATGAATGAGTGAATTAAAATTAAGCCTGTATATTTGAGCAATATTGGGGTATCAGAAATTTATCTGACTCAATTGCAAGCATTGCTGTTGACTCCTATAAGGTGTAAAATGGCCATCTTCCCTGTACTGTATCATTCTTTCAAAATTCCAACCTTCTTTAAAGGCCAAATTCAAATTCCACCACCATAAATCCTTCCCTCCTCAATTCAGATGGAATTAATCTCTCCTGCTCCCAATAAGTAGGTAACACTCTTTTTGTATCTCCCTTTAAAGATCTTGCCACAACCTTGCTCTTGAGCTTTTATTTCCCAATGAAGTGTGAGCACCTCAAGGGCATAGGCTGGGATGTTTTGTATCCTCATAGCCTCTTCAATAATGATAGCGTTTTCTATGCAGTAAATGCACTCTGTAAATCATTGCTGAACTGAATTAAACCTGAGTCACGGGGTCTTGTTCTTGCTTTATTCCCACGTCAGGAATTAAATTTAATGGGTTTCTATTCCAGGCAACCAACTTGATCACCAAGAAGGAACTGCTGACCATGGACCCAGACACGGAGGACCTGCAGCTTGTCTATGAGATTACCACGGGCCCCAAGCATGGCTACGTGGAGAACAAGCTGCAGCCTGGCAGAGCTGCTGTGACGTTCACGCAGGGTGGGTGATTCGGAGAACTAAGAAATAGGAGGAATCTATTCTAACACCGCTCTCCCTACCTCTCTGACCTTTCTCACAACCACTTCTGGCTTCTTACCCCTAAGTAGCCTATTTGAAAACAAGTAGATCTTTTAGTGTCTAACCATTCAACTTTGGAATTTTACTTCTCCTGATTTATTTTCCTGTTACTCTGAATTATGGCAATAAAAAAAAATCTTCTTTACCATGCTTCCTCAGCTCCCAAATTGCTTTAGGTTTTGGCCAGTTTTTCTGGAAGGGATCATGTGATACTGCTTGGTGTTCTTAACAAAAAACAAAAACAGCCACCCGACTTTATACAAGACCTGTGAACCTGTGTGGTTTACTTTTTGTTCTCTAGGGTTATGGATTTTTTTTTTAAGTCTTCAGCAAAGAAATTAAAATCAACATGGATAAAATGTTCAACAGAAAGGTTTTCCTGTTTTGAATCAGATCAAGCAGACTACTTTGTACTTTAGTTTCCTAAAACTTTTTAGAATCTTCTAGACTTCTTTTGAGAATAGACATGGTTGGGAGCAGACACTGCAAAACTGCATGTTACAGTTCATATGCCACATTTCCTTTTTCTCCCTGCACTCAGTCCTATGTGTTCTTCTACCCCATTTTTTCTGTACCGTTGTATGTGGGCTATTTTAATCCAACCCCCAGCTTTTCTTAGTAACACATACCTTCCAAAGAACCTTATCTAGAAGGTAGTGTAGGCATGAGCATATATACACAGAGGATGGGACTGAAGACTTTTCTCTGTCATTTCTCAGATTTATCTCTAACATTCCATAGACATTTATTAGAGTGCTTTATTTAGCCAAAACCCTGGAATTCTCATTTTACATATGGGTATTTTCTATACATAAAAACAGGCCTTTTGTCACACACATCTACAGGACCTTATTTTTAAACCAGGCAGGAACATTTGTTTTGAAGACTACTATCCCTTTTTGTTCTTGGGAAAACAAGTTCTGTCTGTGACCCATTAGGAGAATGGGTGTGTTGGAGTGGGGATCTCTGTGGCTGTGCTTACAACCATGGGCTAATTCATAGTGTATTTTTTCTCACAGAGGATGTGAACTTGGGGTTGATTCGCTACGTGTTACATGAGGAGAAGATCCATGAGATGATGGATAGTTTTCAGTTTCTGGTGAAAGACAGTAAACCCAACGTGGTCAGCGACAATGTCTTCCATATCCAGTGGTCCCTCATCAGCTTTAAATATACCAGGTACAAGTGTTCCTGTGTGTTCTTTCTTGAGAAATGAATCAGGCAAGCAGAGGAAATCAGGGAAGCACCCTATGGGTCAGCTCTAGCCATCTGATGACGCTGGTGTTGATAACAATAATAAAAATAATAATCACACCAAATATTTTTGAATACTGTATGTACCAGGCACTGTACTGTGTACTTGACCTACTCACCTAGTTCTATATTGCAATTATAGGATGAACATTATTGTTGCCTCTGCAACAACAAACAATAAAGACAGAAAGGTTAAGGAACTTGCCTGAAGTCGTATAGCTAATCGGCAGTAAAACCAGGATGTAAGGCCAGTGATCCTAACCATTGTGCTTTACTACCTCTCCAGCATGTTTTTTTTTTTTTTTGCGTCTTTCAGTTTTAGAAGGTAATCCAGTAGAACTGATAGGAAAAAAAAGTGTACACTTGTGTTTTGTAAATAATCACTGTCCCACAATAACACCATCTTTGCCTTACAACTACATTCTCTCTGCTTTCAAGTTCATCATCTCCCCCTCGCTACTTTGGTGTTCATAGGATTGTATATCTTTAGGAGCATATACGTAGTTGAATGCAGATAGCTCTTCAGGATGTTTTCATTGTCTGTTGGGGAGTTGAAGAGACAAATAGAGAGGCATCGACTAGTAAAGGTAGGCAAGCACAGTGCTGATTTTATAGGTTAAGTTGTAACTAGGATTATCACTTTTGTGGGGGAAAGAATTCTTTAAATCTGCATCTCAGAGACTCAATATTCTAAGAAATCAACTTCATGATAAGTCAGATGAAATTAGAACTTGGGCGAAACAAAGGAACAACATACAAATTTGATGTCATGCACCCCAGATTATTCACACACACTTAGAGAATTAGTGGAAAATCAGAATCCACTTTTATATGTGTAATGTTTTATTGTTAATTTGCCGCTTTATGTATCTCCTTCAAAATTGAATTAATTGCATCAAATCAATCATGTTTTCTGGAAACCCTCTAATGTTTAATGAACTAAATAGTACAGAGGCCCCAAGGGTGGCAGTGAGGACTAACCTCTCAGAGGCACTGCCCTAATCCACATTGGACACAAGCCCTGGTCCAATGGCCATCCTCAGTGATGAAAACCAAAGCCCAGCTCAGGCCCCACTGGGGGCTTTTCCAAACCGAGAAGCTTATTATGAATTACCAGCACATGGATAGTTTCTCTCCTACTTTGCAAAAGCAATACAAATTCCTAGCAGCAAGCTAAGTTCTTAGTCTGTTCTGGCTGCTATAACAGAATACATAGACTGGGTGGCTTATAAACCCCAGCAATTTATTTCTCACAGTTCTGGAGGCTGGGAAGCCCAAGATCAGGGTGCTGGCAGATTTAATGTCTGTTGAGAGCCTGCTTCCTGGTTCATAAGACAGTTGTCTTCTCACTGTAACCTGACATGGAGGAAGGATGAGAGACTAAGCTCAGGGCATTAATCCAATTTATGAGGGTTTCACACTTGTGATTTAATCACCTCTCAAAGGCTGAACCTCTAATATCATTACATTGGGGGTTAGGATGTCAATATATGAGTTTTGGAAGAGGGGCAGACACATTCAGTCTATAGCACCCCGTCACTCCCCTGTTGTCTAAACACATTTGTTATCTAGGCCCAATTCTCATTTTCTTACGTCTGGCACTGTCCTGAGTCCTTTACACACTTCCTATAGATCCCATCCAGTCAGTTTCCACCTGAGCTAGGTCATTAATTGCTTCCCAAGCAACTTTCTTCCCTAAGAACACACTGACCTATTATGATTATTCTCCCACACTAGGGAGAGATTATCATTTCTCTATGTTCCGAAATACAAAGTTCATAGTGCCTTTGTGCTACCAACCTTCTGAATGGCTTCCCACTCTCTCTGAAAATGAGACAGATCTGCATCCACAGTTTTCTTGGTCACTTGGTGCTGTGACTGTCCCAGGTGAACACGTTCTGTCAGTTTACAACCTGACTTCTGAAAGGAACCAAGCTTCCTGTTCTCCAAAATGCCCGATACTACTAGCCAACCAGAAGAGACTGGTATTAAACAAGTGAATCCTTCAAAGCCCAGTGGCAGCATTTCAAAGACTCCCTTTTTGTATGCTTCTAGCTACAATGTCAGTGAGAAGGGGGGATCTGTCAGCGTCACAGTGCAGAGGACTGGAAACCTGAACCAGTATGCCATCGTCCTGTGTCGCACTGAACAAGGCACCGCCAGCTCCAGCTCCAGGGTCAGCTCCCAACCCGGGCAGCAGGACTACGTGGAATATGCTGGCCAGGTAAGTGGGTGGGGGACCTCTGATGCCTGAGCTGCCTGCAAGAGCTGTGATGTGCTGTAGGCTACTGTGGCGCCTTCCCACTTCTTTTGGCCCCACCTCTCTTTCCATTGGCATCCTTCCTCCAGTAATTTTTCTATGTTCCATTCCCACAGTATTTTGTTCTTCACAGTCTGTCTAATCTCCATTGGTTTTAGCTGCCAAAGCTTAACTTTTCTAGCTTCTCAGTCTTTACATTGTGCTTCATGACAAAAAAAAAAATCTCTATGGCATCGTATTCTGCACACAGCCTTTGGAATCCTAACCTTTTTTCTCCCCTTTATCTGAAGGGAGGGGAGAAGGAGTATGGGGAGACCAGTTGGGAAGCCCTTGGATAGGCTGGGTGAGAGATGATGGAAGCTTAAGCTTCAATTGTAAAGTGAAGGTGGAGAGGAGTGGATGGATTCAACAGATGAGTAAGCCAACAACTGATGGGATTCAGCAGTGGTTTCGATAGTGGGGCAGAAGGGAAAATGGATGGTGGTGCTCCTTGCTAGGAGGAGGAGGTTTGGTGAGTGATCTTGACTTTGCATACCTTGAGTGTGAGTTGCATTAGAGACAATAAATTGACAGCTCTATAGCTTGGTAGGGAGAGCTGAGAGGAATTCTGCGGTAGAAAGATAAATTTGTAAGTTTCTATGTAACAGCGGTAGTAATTAGTACCCTGGTGAGAGTGAGAGAGAAAAAAAGGAGAGAACGAAAGCAAAAGAGAAAGGAAGAAAATTTAAATAGTAAACTCCTTTATGGCAGGATGCCCTACATTTGTCATCTTTTATTATGGCACAAAGGCTGGTACTTATTAGGTATTTATTCAATGTTTTGTCAAAGTAATTTCATTATTCTTATGGGAACATAAATCATAAAGAGGAGAGGACTCTCTCTGTGAGGCATTTCAGCTGGACTAAGCTAAGGCCTTACATGTCAAATTTACATGAGAAATTAGAAAAGAACAGATAAGCTAAGGAGTCTTTAACATATGAAAAAGAGGCATGTACTCGTGTTTTTCAAGGAGAGATAAAAGGCAGTGTGTTCTAGATCCCAAGTAGAGATCTGTCAAGAGTTTCATTTAGTTGGGTGTGTTTTGAAATGTGGAGTTTAGTAAAACTTAATTTGATTAGCTGATTAGATATGTATTAGTAATGTTTCGTTGATGAAAATTATGTGTGTGTGTTTTGTTTTTTTTAATGGTTTATGTCTGTTTTTACACGTTTCAGTTGTCTCAGCTTACAAAAAGTACAATACAGGCCCATTTCCTGCCATTTCAATTTTGAACAAATCCATAGCCCTAGTTCCATTTGAAGATGTTATCTTTTATTTTTAGACAAAGTAAAACCAGAATAAATCTCTGTAAGTTCACAATTATTCCTATAAAATAACTTCACTGTTTTGTACCAGGCTAAGTTCACTCCCATTATAGATCTAGCCCATCTTAATGGTAAAGGATTTAGTCAAATATAAAGTTAAAGTTCAGTCTAGCTTGCTTACACTGTAACTTTTTCTGAATCCAAACATGACCATTTGGTACACTGAGATTCTATGTCGGTTTGATTGTGCAAGTAATATGATGGTAATAAGGATAATATCTTGCATTTGTTCAGTGCTTTAAAATAAACAGTGCTTTTGTTAACATTGTGTCCTTTAATCCTCCCAATAAGAATTGTGAAATAGGAATATTATTGTTATTTAGCTGATGAGGAATATGATGTTCGTAAAGCTTCAAAGCCTAACCCAGCTGGGAAATACCAAAATTGGGACTTAGAACTTCACACTCCAAGTTCAAAGATTTTTCCAGTTAAACTTGCCACAAATAGAAAGGGAAGTAACTAATCAAATGACTCTTGCTAGCCCAAGTGAGTTAATAAAACAGGATATGAATAGTTACCTACATGTTTTTTCTACAGCCACCAAATGGCAGAGGATGTCTTTGCCCTCCATGTGTCTGTACAGTAAATCAGTCCCAACGTGCAGATGAAGAATGGGAAAAGATAGCCAAGTGTTCCAAGTCATACTGCAGGAAGTTGGGGCTAGAAGAACCGGCTACTTCAGTGCTCTGCTCACTGGGCTCGGGCTGTCTTTTTCCATAATGCTCTGGAGGAGCAGAGCAGAGGAAGTTGAGGCACAGATTAACTCCTTGTTGTTTCTTTTGCTACAGGTTCAGTTTGATGAGCGAGAGGACACCAAATCCTGCACCATTGTCATCAACGATGATGATGTGTTTGAGAACATCGAGAGTTTCACCGTGGAGCTCAGCATGCCAGCATATGCCCTACTAGGGGAGTTCACCCAGGCGAAGGTCATTATCAATGACACTGAGGATGAACCCACATTAGAGTTTGATAAGAAGACCTACCGAGTCAACGAGAGTGCTGGTTTTCTCTTTGCACCTATTGAAAGAAAAGGTCTGTTGGTGCCAAAGGTGACAAGGAGCTATACTAATAACTAACATTTATTGAATCCTTTTTATGTGCCAAATACTGATGTACCATATTAACTCATGTGTGTAAGTATTTTACATGTATGAACTCTTTTAAATCCCAGGCATGTCCCTAATAATGTTCCTACCTATAGCGAGTACTCTCAGAAGGCTTCTCTTCTTAGTTCAAGTTATTAGCACTCCCATTTATTCTTTAATGGGACTGGAAGACTGGTTATATTTGGCCTTGCAAATTATTCATGTACTCAGTATTCTTAATCAATCACCCAATCCATAAAATATTTATTAGCCTTGGTCAAGGAGGGAAGTTACAATTTGTAAGAACTGGTTTCTCATCTTGGTTCTTGAAACAGAAAAATGTGTTTAAAGATTTCCCTATGTGAGTGTCACATGTAGAGCTCAGATGAGAAATAAACTGTGTAAGAAATACAGGACAATTCTTGAGGGGCTGAAAATCAAAACAAAGACCATATGGATTTATGATTGTTCAAAAGTGAGACTGTAAAACACATGGAAATTAAATCTTCATGCAAAGCTGCACAATGACTAAAAGTGATGATGTCAGGTTTTTGTTGAATCTGATGACTGGGTATTAGTGTAACACACTCTGTAGATAGTGCAAACCCTTGGTGACACTACTTGGAAAACAAGCAAACCCCATTGATTGTTCTGGACCAGCAAGCTGGGCCCAGAACAGGCTGTCGCCCAGGGCAGTGGCAGCACTAATAAGTAAAGTCATTTGTACAGAGAGGAGGGTTTTATTTTGTCTTATCTTTCTTTTTTTAAAACAAGCTTGTTTTTCCCTGGGAATTAAAGTGCAGAAGTTTATTCAGAAAGGCAGTGAACTGTGCTCATAGCACTACCTTCAGGATACAATTATTTTGCTACTTAAAGTACCAAATATGTCTCTTATCTTTCCACCCACTGTGGTCTTAGATGGTAGGCAATGAGTCTTGTGAATTAACAGAGCACAAAACTCACAGAATAGGAAATCCATTTTAAGTTGTTTGGTGAAGTATCTGGGGTATGTTAAATCCTCAAGTGGTTTATACCATAAGAGACTGCAGTGCAGGAAGGTTTCATGTCAGAGGGGGAACAGGAATAGTGATGGAGTGTGTTGGAGGAAACCAAGCTCACTCATTTATCAGAGATTTTAAAATTTGTGGCGTACTCATTCAAATACTATGGTTTTCTTGCCATTTTGTATTTTAGGGGATTCAAGCAGCATTGTATCTGCGATTTGCTACACCATCCCTAAGTCCGCAATGGGAAGTAGCCTCTATGCTCTGGAGTCAGGCTCGGATTTTAAATCTAGAGGAATGTCTGCTGACAGTCGCGTGATATTCGGGCCTGGCATCACCATGTCCACCTGTGACGTCATGCTCATTGATGACAGCGAGTATGAAGAGGAGGAAGAGTTTGAGATTGCCCTGGCAGATGCTTCTGCCAATGCCCGCATTGGAAGGGTGTCATCAGCCAAGGTCTTTATTAGTGGTCCCAACGATGCCTCCACTGTGTCCCTGGGCAACACGGCTTTCACAGTCAGCGAGGACGCAGGTAATGGAGAGCATTTTCAGGGTTCCCTCGCCCATTTCCTAATGCCTTCCTTGAATGATTTTCTCTCAAGTTTGAGCATGTGCTTAAAACACTGACAATGCCATTGTTGATCTGAGGCATTATATACATAATGCGAGGCATTACAACCAAGAATGCAATGTGGGAAGAACAGGGAGTTCCATTCACTTTTCTTGCTCTGGTTACTGATGGCCAGAAGTGGTCTGGCTGAGAGCTCCATTGGCTGACCTCTGTGGTCCAGAGAGAGGACATGGTGCTAAGCATTTTGGCTTGCAAAGGAGCGGAATGGGATCTGTCGAGAATGGAGGCAAGTTAGTTAGTATCCTTCTAGCTGGTTAAACAAATGAATTCTAAAATTTCAGTGTTTTCACAAATGGAACTTTCTCACTCAAATAACAGCCCAAAGCAGTCAGTGGGCACATTTCTTCCACCCAGGCTCCTTCCCTCTTTTGGTTGGTTCCACAAAGATCTTAACGTCCTCTGCATGCTGCTGGCAGACATACTGTCAGAAGGGTCACAGCTGTGATGAGTATTCACTGATCTGAGCCACTTGATCAAGGCCTTTCACCTCTTCGAAGGTGATATTTTGACAGAAAGCGGGAACTGATATTTTTGAGCTCTTACTGAGTGCCAAGTACCATGTGATGGACATTCCATGTATTCTCACTTCATCTTCTGTGGGAAAGATAACATTATATGGGAAAGCACATGGAGGCCCAGAGAGATTCAATAAATCATGAAAGATCAAGCAGAGCTGGGATTAGAACCCAGAGCTTTCGACTATGCCATGTTTCCTTTCCCATATACTAAATACCCAGCCATGACTACATGTCACCCCACAACATAGCTTTAAAAATGTGATTGTGAGATCAGCTAAAAATCTACACGTATGCCATTAGGACCCTATGAAGTATGATGTCACAGTAGACCAGAAGGCAAGTTTTATTCCTAAAATAAGCAATAAGCACAAGCGGTTTAAGTAATGATGTGTGCACCACTTGGATAAAATAGGGAAATCAAACCAGTTAGGAACACTTAATTAGGAACTTCAGCTTCAGGCCTCATAGAGTCTCCTCGCTAGTTCTTCCTTAATTGACTATTTTCTGGCTCATCCCTGAGGTGCTAGTCTCTGAGTTTCTTCTCCTGAAATAGGCTTGAAATGTTTTTCAATGGATCCTCCCCCCTTAAATTCATTGTTCTTCTCCTCTGAACAGTCTCCTTCTTGAAGCCACAAAACCACTTTCCCCGAGGGTCTATCTCTCCAGCATTGCCTCCTCGAGACCCTCCTCCAAGTCTGTTCTTCATCTTCAGTCAGAGGGGTGGTTACCAGAGGGAGCACAGGGGCATCACTGAAGTTGGAATAGATAAGCCAGCAGGATAACACAGCCTGCTGCTGTGAAGGAGAATGTTGTTGAGAAAGCCCCACTCATTCTCTGGCTCAAGGTTGACCATTGAAATCTGTGAATCTCACTTCAGGCGCAGTGAAGATTCCAGTTACCCGCCATGGGACAGACCTTTCTACCTTCACATCTGTCTGGTGTGCTACACGGCCCTCGGACCCAGCTTCTGCCACTCCAGGAGTTGACTACGTTCCCAGCTCTAGGAAGGTGGAGTTCGGGCCAGGTATCACTGAGCAGGTGAGCATAGAGCAGTGAAAGGCTGGATGGGTCTGTTAATGTGGTCTCTCTCTAGTCTGTTCTCCAAACTCTTTGGAGGACTCTAAACTCCCCTTGCCATATTACTATCATCCCTTTCTTCAAAAACACAAACATACAAATAAGAAAACAAACTTAGAGGGGTCTTCTATAAGGTCTCCAAGTGACATTTTCAGCTTCTGATATCCAGCACCACAGATTTAGGATAGAAACCACACTAGTTTGATGTAAATATCTAGAAACAAACTACCTAAGGGTGTGTAATGAAAAGAGTAAAATTTTATGGATTAAAAAAAAAAAAACTTAATTTAAGACCTCCAAAGAAAGGCAAGTTGTTACCTTTGTCCTAATCTCCCAAAATCAAATGAGTGTTATGTATTGGGCATTCTGTAAGGTTTGCTTTGATTTTTCTTCTTTTAAAATTTAAAATTGCTTTAAAATTGAGATACAGTTGACATATAACATTATATTAGTTTCAGGTGTACAATAGGATGATTCAATATTTGTATATATTGCAAAATGACCACCACAATAAGTGTAGTTAACATTCTGATTTTTCTTCTAGTATTGCACCTTGACTATCTTGGATGACACTCAGTATCCAGTCATTGAAGGACTGGAGACCTTTGTGGTTTTTCTCAGCTCAGCACAAGGGGCCGAACTGACCAAACCCTTCCAGGCTGTCATTGCAATTAATGACACATTCCAGGATGGTAAGAGATTGGGGATGCCTGCTTGTGACTGAGACTGCACTGCTTGTAGTTCTGTTTTAGTCCTTAATTTCCATGTGTATGATATTGGAACTCATTCACATTTTTATTCAAGAAATGTGTGTGTGAGTGTATGTCTCTGTGTGCGTGTGTGTGCAGGTGCATGCACGCATATATGTGTAGGAGCACTTGCATGCATATACTTTTACATAGTAATATGGGAAAGAAATAATTTTTCATGGTTGTGGCACTCTGCTAGACACACAAAACAATGTATCAGCCTCGGTTGGGCTGTGTCCTCAAGAAGCTCAACATCTCATTGCAGGATAAGACCCTTAAGCAGAAAAATTAGAGTCTATTATAATAAATGACCTAATAGTGCTATAAATCGAGTACTGTAGGAGCAGAGGGGACTGAACAATAGCTATGTGTAAAAGAATCATAGATTTAACAAGGGGGTTGATGTTTAAGCTGAGTCTTCAGGTGTGATAGGAGTTAACCTAATGGATAATAAAATAAAGCTTCTCAAATGGAGAGATCCAGTCTATATGAGGTATAAAATTTCAAAAGGTGCATATTTGGAAAACAGATGCTATCTTTTGCTCTGAGCCTGGCAGGAGGCGAATAGAAGACAACGAAATGTAAAGATAGGTTTAAGTCAAGTTCTAAGAGGACTTAAGTTCTAGCCTAAGAAATTTACAAGCAGAGGGGAGCAACAGATGTTTACAAGCAGGGGAGTGGTATGATTTTTGTTTTAGGAAACTACTACTGGTGGTCCTGCAGATGATATGCAAGAATGAATAGATATGGGTATAGGAACAAAGTGTCAGTCTCCACTGAAGAGCTAACCTAAGTAACATGAAGATGAACAGGAAAGGACAGTTTTTTCTTGGGAAAAATTGATGAAATTTACAATTTTCAGATTCTAGAGTTTGGTAAAAAAGATGGAGTCGAACCTTCCGCCTCAAGCAGGACGACCCAAATCAGCACCCCAGTGGTTGACAATAGATTCCTCAGTCTCCCACTGGACTGGGGGCATGGTAAAACAGGGACTGTTCCCAGCAGACAATCATGAGAAGCACACTTCCCCTTCCTCTCCCCCCCATAGGAGTGAGAGTGAATATCTTGTTAAAGGAAAGAAAAAAGAAGCCTTTTATAGCTCATGAGGAATTTGGGTTGATTATTGCATTACAAAACTCAAACATTACCACTCTAGCTTTTAACTCTCATCTGACTTGGTGCCTGTCAGCCCAGCAAGAAAAATCAATCCAAACCCTTGGATAATCTGCCTTGAGCAGAAAAGCGTCCTTGCTTACATTGCTTTTTACCTGGCAACAAGCTTCCTTCTTTTCCTCCTGTGCTAGGCCATGCCCTTGCTACCCACTTTTTAACAGCACAGACCATTTTATTGGATGACAGAGCCCTAAATGGTTAATGTTGGAGGCTTAATGCCAAAGGTGTTAATTTTCCTTTAGGGTGTAGTGTTCTTTAAGAAGTGTTTTCTGGGCTTTTCTTTAATAATAAATGGTAGCTGTTAGGCTTAGCTCAGATAATGGGTTTGTTTTATTTTACTAACGCCAACCGTTCTGAACCATGGGCAGGTTGGAGGCAAACAGAGCTTTCTGCATACTGATTTGAGATTGCTTGGGTGTTTACCCTTTCTGTTCCTTTCTTTGGGGTTTGGCAGAGCATACATATCCAGGATGCAGACAGGAAATAGGTGACTACAGCTATAACATCAGCTTCCTGTAGCCCAAAAGACTGACATATGACTGGAGGGACTACCTCTTTGTAATGTTCATTAAGAAATTAATGAATGCAGATTGGTGCATTGGAAGGCAATGTGGAGGTTCCTCAAAAAATTAAGAATAGAATTACCATATGAGTCAGCAATTCCTCTCCTGGATATCTACCTCAAAAATCTGAAAACATTTATCCATAAAGATATATGTGCTCTGATGCTCATTGCAGCTTTATTTATGGTGGCCAAGACATGGAAACAACCAATGTGTCCTTCAATAGATGATTGGATAAAGAAGATGCGGTATATATACACAATGGAATACTACTCCACCATAAAAAAAAATGAAATAGTGCCATTTGTGAAAACATGGATGGATCTTGAGATTATTATGCTAAATGAAATAAGTCAAACAGACAAAGACAAGAACCATATGACTTCACTGACTTGTGGGATATAAAACTGAAATCAACAAAGGAACAAGACAAGCAAATAAGGAAACCAAAATTCATAGACACAGGAAATAGTTTAGTGGTTACCAGAGGGTAAGGATGGTAGATGAGGGTAAAAGGGTCAAATATATGGTGATGAAAGGAGAACTGACTCTGGGTGGTGAACCCACAATGTGATATATAGGTGATGTATTACAGAATTGTACACTTGAAATCTATGTAATTTTACTAACCATTATCACCCCAATAAACTTTAATTAAAAAAAGAAAAAGAAAGAAAGAAATTAATAACCAGCAGTCAACAAAATGGGTCTCAGAAGGGGACACGCCTTAATGCAGAGCTAATTACCTAGGCTTTCTAGGAAGTAAGCAGAAAAAAATGACCCTTCATATTGAGAAGGCTGGAAATAGAGGGTAATATAAACTGTGTGATAATAATTTCTACCAAAATTTGAGTGCCTGCTGTGTGCCAGATACTGTACTGAGCACCAAACATACATAATCTTGTTAAATTCAATCCTCCTGATAATTCTCTGAGTTACATATTATTTCCAATTTACATAAAACAAAAAACAAGCCTCAGAAAATCTAAGTAGATTGCCCTGTATCACAGCAGGGCTGGGATAGAAATTCAGGCCTGTATACTCCAAAGCCCTTGTTTTTAACCATGATTGGGCTACAGTTCCTCCCGAAAGTCAAATGAGGCTGTGCGAATTATAAGAGAAGTTGTAACTCTGCAGCAATAGTCACAGACTGGGGACCCACTGGATAGCTCAGCTTGTGGATGTGTTTTGTTTGGCCCGAATAGTTTTGATCTATCTGGAATTTCTTTTTGCTGTTTTAATTGGTTGCTATTTTAAAATTTAGGAGATAGCACATAAAACTCCAGATCTCTGGCTTTGTTTAAAAATAAGAAGATCTGCCAAAAAAGAGTGGAGCTGAGGGGCAGCCCCTTTAAACAGGGCTTCTTCTTTCCCTTTACCAGTGTCCCAGCTCTTCCTGTTCTCTCCCTGGCCCCAGGACCAATGAGAATGGCCATCTATCAGCAGGCTTAAGCTGCTGATAGAAGAAAGTGAACTTTTTTGAGTACTTATGACTCTATCACCACTTCCCTTATACCTGGCCCATTTCTTTACTTGCATTGCCTGCTTGCGTTTGAGATGGCGACTGTGCCCTGAAGCCCAGCAGAAACAGGTGCAAAATTGATTGATTCTATTTTATTGGAACCACATTCACAGTGGAAGCAGTTCCTTTGTCCCGAGAGCAGCAACCATGTCCTGCAATCTGCTTACCCCCTGTGATTTGCCAGCCTATGGTGGCCCTTAGTGGAGCTCTCCTGCCACGTGGCTGCCGAGGGCTGACAGGAGCTGTGGCCACCTAACCTCTGTCTCCCTCTAACAATGCATCCATCTTTCCTTCTGCTCCTCCAGTGCCCAGCATGCAGTTTGCCAAGGATTTGCTCCTAGTAAAGGAGAAGGAAGGTGTCCTGCATGTGCCTATCATTCGGAGTGGAGACCTGAGCTATGAGTCATCAGTGAGGTGCTATACTCAGGGCCACTCGGCTCGGGTCATGGAGGACTTTGAGGAGAGGAGAAACACGGACTCTTCACGGATTACGTTTCTGAAAGGGGAGAAAGTAAGTAGATTTATGATTGCTGAAAGATGGAATTCTCTTCTTCCTTGATGCCTTTGATTTGTCCATACTGAAGAAATTTAGACAAATTCTGAACATCCTAGGAAGTTTCTTACTAATTGATGGTATTTTTAATAATATCACCTACTTCTATGAAGCTGTCTTCTTGGTTTCCCACTTTTAACCAACTATATATGTCATTGGTTGTGTTGGGAAATTTAGACAATGCGTAATATTTTTGGAATCTAGCAGAATCAAATAAATGAGGCTCCTCTTACTTTGAAACTATGTAAGAAATGAACACGCTCCACAATGTTACCTAAAGGATGAAGAGATTATTCTCTAATACCTGGGCCCCTGTCCCAGGGCAATATACATCCTAGTATAGGACCAATAGTATGGGATCAAATATGCAGACATTGGTTGAATAGATTCAAGTCAGTATCCTCTTGGTGATGTACATGGAAAGGGATGCATGTGTTGCACAGGAACCTCTGAAAAACCCCAGTCACTAAGTATGGCTGCATCAGACTCAAAGCCTACATCTCAGTGCATGTCAAACATGTATTTTGAATGAGAACCACGTTTTTCCATTTTTGGGTCTCAGTTACAGGTGACTGAGTCAGTCATACCCCATGGTTCAAGGAACACAGTCCTCATTAGTCAGTTCAAGTCCCTTTTATTTTGCCTATTTAGTCATTTTATTTTATGTCAATTCTCCAGTCACATTTTCTTCCCCACCAGCTCATCAATCTGTGTGGTTAACAAGTATCTTTCAATTTGTATTTGTTCTTTAAAAATTCTGGTTGTTTTGCGTGAATAGTTTTTAATTTATAAAATTGCTGTTGTGTTATTGCTTTTTCAATCATTTACTGCATTTACTCAGCCATATGTTTTATTCGTCCATGTCATTTATGTGTACACCTAGTCTGTCGCTTCCAGCTGTGGCATAGTATTTCCTGATGTGTATCTACTACATTTTATCCATCTGCTCTCAGCAATAGACAGTGAGGAACCACAGCGATAGCGCCCAGTCGTCACCTCGTAACACTCTGCCACCACTTATAACACTGCAGTGTATCCTTATACATGTTAAGTGGGACTTTCTTTGGATATATATGCTCAGCAGCAAAACTTTTGGACCAGAGGACATGCATGTACTTAATTCGAAAAAAATAATTTCAGAGTATTTCCTAGAATGTCACTAGCAGCCCATGAGGGTTGCTATAACCCTACATTCTCTTCAATATTTAGCATTAGTCATCTTTTAAATCTTTGCTAGTCTAATATGTATAAAGTGATATGTCATTTTAATTTGCATTTCTCTAATTAATACTGTTCTATATGCTTGTGAGCTTATTGAGTTTCTTTTTATGGAAATTTATTCTTTTTATCCTGTATTCCTTATTTTCTTGTATTGTTGTCTTTTTCTTACTGATTTGCAGTATACACTTTCTTGTATATTCTAAATATTAATTCCTTGCCAATTTTAGACATTTTAAATATTATAAATGTATTTTCTCTGTCACTTATCTATTATCTTTTACCATGGTGTTCTTGGTTGAATAGAAGTCTTTGATTTTGATATAAGCCAATGTATCAAATTTTTGCCTTGTGATTAGTCCTTTTGAAATTTAGCATAAGAAGACCTTACTCATCCCAGTTTACCCCAGATTCTTCCTCTGTTCATCTTTACTGACAAAAAAAAAAAAAAGCCATAGCTTCCTTCTTTGGGACTTTCAGTCTCTTACACATTTGTGACTCATAAAAGTCCTGTCTTAGTTATGTATTTTATGGGAATTTTGCAGTGGCAGGTTGAAACACGCATTTAAAAATACACACAAATACTACAGATGTAATCTTTAACTTTGAGTCTACATGTCTATATTTGCTTTAAGTTCAAAAGAGGATTATCTGCCTATCCAAGAGACAGTTTGTTATTTCATAAAATTATAAAGAAGTACAGTCGAATAGTCTATGTTACCTACATGACAATCTATCTATCATTATTCATAAGCAGGCTTTGGAATCTTCATTTTCTTAGCTTGCTAAGCAATATGTCTTTGGAACTTGTCATTCACTAGAATGTCTTCTTTTAAAGATATCCTGAAGAGTCACTATTAAATTCATACTTTCTATAAAGAAATTCTGATTGTGAGAAAGATGTGGTTAAAAAAAAAAAGGAGCAATCTTCAGAAATTTAAATCCAGGTTAGCAAGCCACATAAAAAAATGCTCACAGGGATATTCTCCCTGTGAGCATAATTAGGAAAATGAGAGTGAAACATCTCTAGACCCACATATCCTGTGCCATACAGTAGTATGTAGACTTCAAATGGTTCAACTAAAAATAATCCCACTTATCACATGACTCTACTATCGAGGCTGCTCCATTATCTAAAATGTTGTGACCTTAGTATACATTTTCTCAAGAATACAATCCTCAGTAGAGAATATTCAGTTTGAGAAACACTTGATTTCTTTCCTTCAAACAGGGATTTAGATTGTTTTCTGAGAATTCAGTACTCAGCAGTTTTCAGGTGAGACACCATTTGGCAGCATATTTGAGAGTTCTGGAGCATGTAGAGGTTTCTTTAGCCTAATAGGAGGCCTTTCTAAGTTCTTTATAAGAGTTTTCAATTTCTACAATGGAAAAGGAACCGTATTCAGCTCTCCAGGAAGTCTGACCCTGTGTTAAACCCCCACATCAGAAATCTACCTCTCATAAGATGCACCAGTGTATTGGTCAGCCCAGGCAAAGCATGGGAAAGCGCGCAGATGCTCTACATGTGCTCTTTTGTGGGTTCTTTTATTGATCTTGATTTTTGTAATTCATGACCAGTAATTCGAAATGATGTGGAATGTTCTCATTACAAGGCTCCACATATAGATAGGTCCCAGTCAGGCATGAACTATTAAATATAAACATTCTACTTTATAAATTAAACAGTTTGGGATCCTTTGAATTTGTGTTGACTCTTTGATGCTGCAAAGGAGAAAACTAAAACCAAGCAAGGCATTGCTATCTTGCTGCAAATTTTAATCTATCTTGTGCCATTGGCTCTAGATGAAGAACTGTACTGTCTCTATCCATGACGACTCCATGTTTGAGCCTGAGGAACAGTTCAGGGTCTACCTCGGCCATCCTCTTGGAAACCACTGGAGTGGAGCCAGAGTTGGAAAGAATAATATGGCCACCATCACCATATCCAATGATGAAGATGGTAAGAGTTACTCTAATGCACATTACATTTACTAATAATGTAATTATAAGTGTTTTGGAAATTGAAAGTGCTACAAAAGTGCCTACTGATAATAATCTTAGAGTATTTATATAAAATGTTGGCAGCAAATGATTGCCCTCATGCAGAGCTCCAATAAGTTTATAGGTATTTTTAATTTTATTACTCCCTACCATACTGCCAAGAGATAAGGAATGAGTATGGTTAAAAGCTGGGACAGTGATGCTAAGATAGAGAATAGAAACTATTTAAGTCACTGCAGTTCAGGAGCAGAATTGGAAATACAATCAGAATCAACTGAATCCAGTGAACTGATGTAAACACTGCCACCTTCCAGGAAAAGTCTAATTCCTGTTTTCTTTTCTCTCATTGACTTGGGCTACTAGCCTAAGGAAAAAAAAAAAACCAAAAAATTTAAATTCTTTAGTCAGGTGTTAGTAAAGAGTGACCCAGGTGGCCAGGAAAACAAAATCTGTTCCAAATTGGGCATAATTGTTTTATTAAAATCAATATTTTAATAAGTAAATGAATAATAATATTACAAATAATAATGTCTTTATTGAATATTTATTGTATGCCAAGAATCATGTTAAGCATATTATCTTAATCCTTGAATCCTAGCAGTAATCCCTTGAGGTAGTTGTTATTACCCCTATATCATAAGTGAAGAAATCAGCAACGTTATATAATATATGATCTTAGTTACAGAGAGATATGCAGCAAAACTGGATGTGAACTTTATTTTGTCAGATTCTAGAGTCTACTTGAGAGTCAGTGAGACTCTTAGGGTTTCCAGTGTAAAATCAGGGACTAATTTGAACATTGATAACAAAAGCCAGCCTTGACACTGAATTACTCCTTTACCCAAGGAAACTCAGCTTCAAATCCTGTAGTGAAACTCTGTGAGTCACACAGAAAACCCCATGATTGAAGCTCAGAATGGTAACAAAGTCACACTGTGTTACTGTGACACTCCTAAGTTTCAAAGAACATTCTTTTTAAAAACGATGATGTCACAAATGAGGCTTATCTTCTTCAATTAGAAAGAATTAACTTTCTGAGAGGAAAAGAGGGGAATGAACATAGAGACTCTAGAAAATTCTGCGAAATTCTATAATATATTAAAAAATGGTATAAAATTTGTAATTGTTCTCATTTTTTTTTAATCTTATTCTCTTTACCGCTACCACCTTGCCCTTCCCCATGGGAATATAATAGAAAAGAGGGCATGATTTGAATTTTTTAAATAAAAATCATCATCATATTATTTACCATACCCTACCAATGACAATAGTACCTTAAACCAGATTGTGTTAGGAGGTCTTGTGTTCCTGAATCATCGCTGTTTTAGTCACTAACTACCCATCTTAACTAAAGAAACTGTGAGAAGTTAGGAAAGCCAAAAGCGGGCAGGTGAGAGCACTAAGAGGGGGGATCCGAAGGACCAGAGATGAAAGCGATGGATTTGGTAAATTTAAGTTGTATGTAACTGCGATAAATTATAAACCTTGGAAAGTCATGCATCATAAATGAAAAGGAATTGATTCATGACATCAGGTGATAGGTACTTATCAGTTGACTATGTCTCAGTCCCTTGATTAATAGTGCAAATTTTAAAGCCTTCTGTGAGTTGCAATGCCTAGATGGAAACTTGGACATTATGAATTCCAAAGTCCTTAAAAATATTTTGCCACTATATTGTTTTTAATAAGAAACATGTGAGAAAAACAAAAAACAAACAAACAAAAAAACTTCTACAAAATCACAAATAGAATTCCTTTTTCCCAAGCATTGCTTAGGGGTAAATACTGATTGATTTTTATGACTGCAAGCCGTTTTGCCATTGTACTGTTAACTATGAAAAACTCCTTGTCATTAGAAGGTGTTTTCCTGGGAGTCAGAATCCTTCCTGCTTTTCTAACTTGTTCTTGTTCCCCTAACCGTGTTTCCTCAGCCCCCACCATTGAGTTTGAGGAAGCAGCGTACCAAGTCCGGGAGCCCTCGGGGCCAGATGCCACGGCCATTCTGAACATCAAGGTGATCCGCAGAGGGGATCAGAACAGGACGTCCAAGATCCGCTGCAGCACCCGGGACGGGTCTGCACAGTCTGGTGTGGATTATTACCCAAAGAGCCGAGTCTTAAAGTTCAGTCCCGGTAATTGAATGCCAACCCCCACCTGTGGATTTTACTTACTAGAAAGCCAAACATCTTATACTTGAAGAAAGGAATGAGCAGAAAAATGAAAGAGGAAAACAGGAGATGCAGTAGCACAAAGTATTTACTAAGCACACATTTGAGATTGCAGGGGTCTTTAAAATGTGTAATTAATAAAAATGGCATGGAAAAAGAAAAAAAATAGGCCCCGTACTTCAGAACACCCTTGGTTTATTTAAAAGGATTTGTTGTTGTTATTGTTGTTGTTGTCATTAGCCAATGTTTTGGTTGAGTGATTGGAGCACTTGATTTTAACGTACACACACACACACACACACACACACACACACACACATGATGGCCATTATTCAACAAACATTGTACAAACTACTGCACTGGGCCCTTTAGGCTGGAATTACTAAAATCCAGAAGGCAAAACCTCTGTGCTCAAGTGGTTTAACGTTTACTAGGAAATGGGATACCCTATTCTGATGATTCCAGAAAAGTTTATCCTAGAGAGAGCAATGGAGACAAGTCAGGAGAGAGCGAAAGATGGAATTGAGGTCACAACTAACTGTTGAACTCTCTGATGTATTAATTTGATGGAAGGAGTGAGACAGGGAAGGGGTTGAATTGTATGCTAGGTTTTTTCACAGAACTTTCTGGAGCAATGTAAGATGTAATGGCTAATGTAGACGATGGCATCATTTGTGATGTAGCCAGAAGGGGCAACAGTGTTAGAAGGCCTATTCAGAGGTGCCTTGGCAGGTAGAGGGAGAAAATGACTCACAAAGAAGTGACTTTGGGGGATCTTTGTATGCCTCCCTCACCCCTCTGGAGCTTTAAAGGGCTTTCAGCTCCAGCCTATGTGTGTCTGCTTGGTGTTTGCCAGGAAGGTAGAGGGCCTTCCTCCACATCTCTTCTGTCTTTACTTTTTCCTTTACTGCATAAGGATCTGGGGGAAAAGAGCTGTCTTAGAAAGAAGCCAGCATAGATGTCTATAGGAGAGGAGGGAGGAGACTTTAGCTACCCCCAGGGGTGTTTGCACCTGCAGGGAATTATTTCACAGAAAAGGAGGGGCTTTTTAAGGCCCTAGCCCTCCCCTTTAAGGCTGCCAAACCTTCACAGCATTGTCTTTGCGAGACTGGCCCGGTAGGTAGCCTTTGAGCTATTTCTTCTCAGGAGACAGCTTTGAAGGACGTCTGTGTGTGCAGGCACTCACATAGCCATATAGGAGCTCATGCATAAGTGTAAAGGGGGAAGAAAAATTAAGCAAAACAAAAACTCATAACCAGGATGGAGTGTATTTTGGATCATAGATTTTTATTACTGCCAGCTAGTGTCAGGCAGGGACCATTAATCCTCATATGGTGTTGAATAGTAAATCTACAATACTGAGCTGCTGCCACAGGTGGAATTCGGTCTATAAAACAGATTCCCCACTTGAGATGGGGCTCAAGTGATCGGCAGCCACTGCATTTATAGAAAACCTCTAAGGGAAAGGATATATTTAGCACAAAGCCTAGGCAGTGCCAACCTGTACCGTCTTAGGGAGGTCACTTAACAAGGACCTTTGTTTTCTTTTTCTTCTGTCCTTGGCAAAGGTGTGGATCATATCTTTTTTAAAGTTGAAATCCTGTCCAATGAAGACCGGGAATGGCATGAATCTTTCTCCCTGGTCCTTGGCCCAGATGACCCAGTAGAAGCAGTTCTTGGTGATGTGACCACTGCCACAGTGACGATTCTAGACCAGGAGGCAGCAGGGAGCCTCATATTGCCAGCTCCACCCATCGTAAGTTGCTCGACCCGAAGGATCGTGCTTTTATGTCTTAGTGACTCTGTTAAATGAGAATTTGAGAGCAGCAGGACTTCTGGTGCTATACTTCTTCGTTCTTCTGTCACAGTGGTTCTCAACTGGGAGCAATTTTGCCCCGTCCCTTCCAAACCTCCCAGCTTCAGCCACCACCTCCGTGGGACATTTGGTCATCTCTGGTGACATTTTTGGCTGTTATGACTGTAACACTAGGTACTATTAGCATCTAGTGGGTAGAAGCCTGAGATGCTGCTAAACATCCTACAATGCACAGGACAGTCCCAATGACAAAGAATTATTTGGCACAAACGTCAATAGTGCCAAGGATGAGAAACTGTTCTGACGTAAGAGTAGGGTCAAGCCATGTCGATTCCTTAGTCTGATAAAGACAGAAAGGACAATACAATTGATCTTCTCACTTCTTTTGTGGGACCTGGAAGAGTCAAACAAAGTAATATTGCCCCATATACATCATCCTCCATACAGGCCACACACATAGAATTAAGTATCTGGAGAAATGTAGTACTGTGATTACCGATTTGGGGATGGATAGAATGAATGCACTGACTTTACAGTTAGGAGGAAAATGCCTGGAAGTTGCCAAGGGGATTTTAACCCATAATAATGAAGCAGCCAGAATAAGTCTTCTAACCTCCCTTAACTAGTCTCACATAGTAGAAGTATCATTTCAAAGTGTGGCTCTTATACACTATCTTTATTTACTTTTATTTTGCCAAAGGTGCTACTGCATGCCATTAACAATGTAAACTAGTACCAATCATTCCTGATGTAGCTTTGATTGCAGTGTGCAGGAAAATAAAAGTTCTTTTCACATGAGTGATAGAGCTCTGATTTAGGAATAAGGTTAATACGATAATAGGACTTAGCTCAGGCAGTAGGGGGATCTTCTCTACTGCTAAAGGTCTGCAGTATCTTTTAGGGATGCCCAGCAAAGCCTTGTCAACATTTGTTGTATTTCCAAGAACCCCTGGAAGGTAAGTGACCTTATGGAGACTTGGTTCTGACCTTTCCCAGACCCAGCCTGGGCTGAAGCTGTGTTGCTCCTTTGCAGGTTGTCACACTCACCGACTATGACCATGTAGAAGAGGTTAACAAGGAAGGTGTCAAGAAGTCCCCCTCCCCAGGCTACCCGCTGGTCTGTGTCACCCCCTGTGACCCTCATTTCCCCAAGTATGGCGTCATGAAGGAGCGCTGCAGTGAAGCTGGCATCAACCAGACATCTGTACAGTTCAACTGGGAAGTGGCTGCCCCCACCGATGGCAATGGGGCCCGGTCTCCCTTTGAGACTGTCACCGACAATACACCTTTCACCAGTGTCAACCACATGGTAGGCCTAGGGGTCTGGGCTTGGTTGCATAGGGAGAAATCTGGCATTTCTCTTTATTTCTCTGACTGTATCAAATTCCTTAAGGTCCATACATGGCATTTGGAATAAAATAAACAAGTGAGCAGGTACACACAGTTTTTTTATCCTTATCTATAAGGAAGGTAATAAGGTGTAGTAGAAAGAGAACTTAGACAACCTGTGTAAAACCTGGATTCTGCCTGTTTTTACCTATGTGATGTTAAGAGATTACCTATCCTCTATGAGTCTCAGTTTCCTGATCTGCAAAATCATACCTCTTCTACTTAGCCACCTGACAAGGTCATGGACAAATCAGATATAAAAGCAACCTATAAATGGTACAGCAAGTCAGAGTCCAGGTAGGTACAATTAATGATCACTATTTTTTTTCACATCTCTTCAACCATTCAATAAGTAGTAGGATATAAACTCCTTAAGGATATGGAGCAGGGGTGCTGCCACCTTTGTATATCCCAAAGGTGGGATATACAAACGTGATGGCACATAGTAGGGCCAGTGATTAAACAAAAGCACAAAATTCTTAGTGAGCAATCGGCATTTTAGAAAGCCCTGTGGAAGAACATGAAAGGAAGTTCACAGTGCAGTTGCTGTCCTCAGAGAGTTAGGAGGCCAGACCAATACCTCTACCCAAGCAGAGAGCAGGGGACAGGGATGGCTTTCCCAGCTTTTGGAAATCCGGCACTACAGAGACCGCTCATCACACCAGTGCAGTTCATTCTCTTCAGAAAGAGAGCTGAAAGCAGTAGAGATTGAGGCTCAGCCCAGTATCTGACCCAGAGTAAAACTCAGTAGGTTTTGACTGAAATGAGTGCACTTGATAATTTTGGAAATCAGAGATTTCTTTTGGACTGCATTTCTCTTGACTTTTCCTGTTCAACTCACAGTTAGTTCTCGCTTTAATAAGTATGTCATTTGAATGGGATAATGGAGGAGGAAAGCTTTAGATACAGACGGGAGGCTTTGGATCAAGTGGGACTGCCCGTGCCTGTTGTCTTTGGCACAGCTTATTCAGAAAGGCCACACGATCAATCATTCTGGAACATGGCCTACCTTGTTTAAATTATCTTCTATATTATTTTAAAAGGTAAATGCCAAGACTTAACCACTTATTATTTCACAAGTACCTAACTCTCTGTTCAACAAAATCGTGAAGGGAGTTTGGTCTGATCTGAGCCAAATATACATTTTTAACAGGTACCAAATTTATGATTTTACATTATATTTCAGTTTTCCTTCTTGCAATGAGTTGGTGACTGATACTCTTACCCCAGTTGCCTCTGCTCTATCTTTATTTCTTCAATTACTTACTTAATATAATTGTATTTTATGCATTTTGGTAAGGTGCCTCAAATTCCTTTTGAACTAAATCCATGCATAAATAAATAAATAAAGCGTTGGCAGCTAATTAAAGAATTTTAATGGAAACAATCTTCTTTAATCTTTAATGGACTTCAGTGAAAATTGTTTTCATGGGTAGAACTTATAAGTTTGTATGTTTGCTTTGCGGGAGGTCTATGGCACACAGAACTACTAATTAATTCTTCCCGTTATGAACTTCCCGATGTGTGTGCACACATAACCTGAAGGGTTCTGGTGAACTACGTTGCCTTCACATAGATTGAGTTAAGCACTCTATGGCTTCTGTATGTCTGGGAGCATGAAAGAGTCTGTAAAAAGTCCTTCAAAGGCCAGTGGGTATCAGAAGCTAAGTTCTCAACTTCAGGCTGCATGTGACTGTAACCCTGGCAATGTGTGTGGTTAGGGCTGGAGGAGGGAAAGCAGTAGGAAGGAAAGAAAAATAAGGGTATTTCCTGGGAAGGAAGCACCTCTCCTCTGTATCCTGACACCATGCCCTTAACATAAGTGACTTGAGACCAGTGACTTTTGCTGGAAGGGATGAAAACCAGTTGAGTCGTCCTTATGCTGAACCTAACATATAAGGAGAATAGTAACATCCCTGGTATTCAGACATCTCTGGGCTCTTGCTCCACATCTGTCTACTTACTCATTGTCTGACTTACTAAATTAGACTAGAAGTACTCACTGCTCTGTCCATAGTACCTGGTACCTAGTAGAAAGTCAGTATTTATGTGGTGAATGAATGGATAGATAGATGGATGGATGGAAAGATGGATGGATGATGGATGGTCTGCAGAATTACCTTGTACCAGGAACTGGTTACGTCATATCACCCAGAAGATAAAATGTAAGGAACTGTTTAATTAGCATACACATGTCTGAGGTGCTTTATTCTTCCCGGTAGGTCCTGGATAGCATTTACTTCAGCCGGAGGTTCCATGTACGTTGTGTGGCAAAGGCTGTGGACAAGGTGGGCCATGTGGGGACCCCTTTAAGGAGCAACATTGTTACCATCGGAACAGACAGTGCTATCTGTCACACCCCAGTGGTGGCTGGGACAGCCAGAGGCTTTCAGGCTCAATCCTTCATCGCTACCTTGAAATACCTGGACGTCAAACACAAGGAGCATCCAAACAGGTCAGACAGGTGGTACATTCCACAATGAGAGGGTGGAATGAATCTTGAGCTATTCTTTGTGTGTTTTCTAAGTAGGACAGATCGATGACTGATACTTTGGCAAAATAACAATAGTGGTGATGAATACTTCAGAAAAAGTTTAACTTCTTTAAAGACCCCTATGATTTGGCCCCTTGTCTGTACAAGCTTCATTTCCCTCACCTTGTCATTTTCACCTGCCAGTCCTCCCATAGATTCACAGGTAACTTCCCCAGGGCTTCAAACTCTTTTGGGTGGCGGCCTCTGCCGTGCTGCTGCTCCTGACTCCAATTCTCCCCCCGTCCTCTTCCATTCTGTGTGGTGAAATCTGATTCTCCTACTATACCTGGCTCATGGCATCTCTTCCAGGAACTTTTCCATCATCTCCTCCAGTGTAATTTGGAAGGCCCTCCTTCCAGCTCTGTGGCACGCAGGTGCCTGTTTCAGAGCATTGTCATCATTCATTCTTTCTGTCTCCATAGTAGATGGTGAGGGCAGGGACCATGATTATTTGTTTTGCATCCATCCCCCCTGCCTAAGACAGTGCTTCTTGGCCCTTAAAAGCAACTTGTTGCTATCTAATGAACAAATGAGGAAACTTAGTCACTGGGCAGATGTGCTTTTATTTTTTTTCCTGTGCCACCATGATTTAGGTGGAAGATGGATACTTTCATTTTTGCATAGCATAAAAAGAATTCATGTATGTCATACTAAACCTCATAGTATCTATATGTTTGCCTTTTTGAGCAACTGAGTTCAGAGAAAGCAGTTTGTTTGCATGGAAAAAAAAACAAATTTGTATATGGAGCCAAGAATATGAAAATTCTTCTTTTGTTCTAACAGAATAGAATTTATCTTTGTTAAAAAGCAGTAACAGAAGTGCCCGGGGTACTACTGACCCCTTTCTTGCAAAAGAGCCATCCTGTTCATATCCCCAGATTCTAATTCCTCTTATAAGCATGAGTCTTTGCTCTGAGAGAGAAGCTGTAAAATCTCAAAATGCACCTCAATAAACATTCTGAAAACTTAAACTTGTGCAATGAAAAAACACAGCCTGTAAGTACAGTTCCATTGTGATGCGGTTCCGTCTTAACCGGTATTTATTAAGCTTATATTTTATTTAGAATTGTATACTACATGCTCTGGAGAAACACAAGACACAAAGGAAATGGTCCTTGTCCTCAGAGTGGGGATGCAAGATACAGAGTCTGAACACATACAGGAAATAGCAGCGATATAAATAAGCTACAGATTTCCTGGTACAAAGGCACCTAAGCGCTGAGGAATGCAGATCAGGGGAGAGCACATTGCAGACCGAGGCCAGTGAGGGCCAGTGTGAGGTGTTGCTGAAGTTGAAGGGAGAGCAGAGAGAAGAAGGCTCTCGCTTCCGTTGGGGAGGGACAGTATGAGTAGTAGGATATTACTATTACTAAGATATTGTTCTGGGTAGGGATGGTGGCCTTAGACTTTAAGAGCTCAATGATGTATTTTTGGCACAAATAATTTTAAAAAAAATGAGTTTCAGCTCTATCCAACCTCCATAGGCACTCACTGTGACAGCCAAGGGGAGCAGCACCTACTCCACCACTCAGCTTTAGAGCACGAGGAAAAGAAGTTTCCATTTAAAGCAAAAGAAAGCTTTAAAGTAATGTGTGGTTGTGATGTTATTTTTTCTTGTATAAGCAAAAAAAAAAGAGAAAAAAAAATCTATGAGTCTTGATTGCTATCAGTCCTGAGTCTGGAAGCCGTCTTGGGAGGAAAACCAACCCTACTTGTATGTCAAACCCTAATGTTCAGAGAAATCTTACATGGAAATCTTTAGGGGGATCAAAATGGTAAATGTATTGGTGAAGATAAATTAGGTTTTGAGAAAGAAATGTACCATATGAACTGTTTATGGCATGCACCTAAACCCTTCTTTCTGCCCTTTTTTCCCCTCAGAATCCACATATCCGTGCAGATCCCACACCAGGATGGAATGCTGCCCCTTATCTCCACCATGCCTTTGCACAACTTGCATTTTCTGTTATCTGAGTCCATCTACAGACACCAGCATGTCTGCTCTAATCTTGTCACCACCCGCGATCTGAGAGGCATCTCAGGTGAGGGGTGAGCTCCGTGCTGGCTTTCCCGTTCCAGCCCAGCACGCTCGCCCTTAGGGCTCTGGCTAAGTGGACTCTGCTGTTCATATTTTCCAGTGCTCAAGATCTGCATGATTAGCAGGCTTCCTTCTTAGCAGACAACCAGACCTAGGCAGCTCAGACCTAGGCAGCTCAGACAATGACATAAATAGGAAAAAAATGGCAACTTTGGAATCAAACTGACTTAGGTTCAGACCCTTAGTCCACTAGCTACCGTATATGGTTGAACAAAAGTAGCTGAGCCTCTCTGAGCCACTCTTTCCTTATCTATAACATGAGGAAACCGTTGATACCAATGAAGACGAGGATTAAACTTGCACCAATCATGGTAAATTTTAGTTCTTTTCCTCCACTCTAGTGAGCATGTTTGGATCTGTGCCTTAGAATCCCATTGTTGTAGCATCTTTAGAAAGCTAAAGTGCAGATGTTATGTGACAGGACGGGTTCTCCAGGAGCAGGAGTGGAGATGGAGTTGGGGGGCGCAAGATGATTAGTAGGGATCAACATCTGTGACATGGCAGGAGAGCAAACAAGATTGGGCAGAGCGAGAACTCCAACTGCAACACAGCCTGACAGAGCCACCACCAAGTCTTCAGCGAGCTTGGGAGAGAGCCCATCAGTCATACTCATCCTAGTTCCAGTCCCATGTGACAGATCTCCCCCCACCCCCACCTTGCCCTGGGGGGCAGGGGGTAAGGCTGTGACCTCAGGCTGATGCAGACCTGAAGGCGCTGACATCTGGGGCGGGACCTCTCTGTGTTCACCACAGCAGACATTTTACTTTACAAAGAATCTCTTCCATTTTCATTTGCCTCAGCAAGTGCACATTCAAGGCAGGCTACCTCCCTTCACAACTCATGAATCATTTAACAGTGGTTTCAAAGATAGAAAAGTATTCACGTGCTCTTTCATCTTTATTAAGCATCACTTTAGGTATAGTAGAAATTAGTGGAGTGTAAACTATTCGTAAATCACTGAGCTAATGTATACAGCTAATGAAAGAAACATACTATGTGTATAGGCTGAAAGTTTGTACCTCTTCCTACTGAGACACAGATTTAAAACATGATGATTGAGATCCTACTTCTTGTGGGGCAGAGGGTTGAGTGCTGCTGTCAAACATTCTAAGAAATGCATCAGCTCTTTCAGAATTCTTGAATTGCTCATAATACTATAAAAGTCTTAACCCTAACATTCTAAAGTTGTGTATGTATTTAGCTCTCTGCTGCAAAAGATCTTCCTGAATTTAAAACAGTTGCTTGGCAGCATTTGATCCAATGATTTTTTCCTGTATCAGGGAAAGTTTAGTCAAGCATCATTAGTGAGCTATTTACTCATTAGCGCTAAATTAAGATTTTTTTCCAAGTGTTCAAAAACTTGGTGGGTGCGTAGTCAGAGGTTTATGCATTGGCTTTCCATAAAAGCTATTTTTAAAAAAATAATAACTCATCAACAAATGATTCATATAGTAAATCTATTTCTTTAAGAACTGATTGGGAAGCATAGAACCAGACTTGCCAGGTGTGACAGTCAAAGCTTCAGCGTGTTTTTCAAGGTATACAGGGCCACCGAGCTCTGACGCCTTCATTTATGGTATCATCTGTTCACCCTTTCTTCCCAGGTTCCTGCAGCCCTTAGAGGACTCTGTGAGCCCAGTCACTTAAGAACATAGAGCAACATGCAGTTAACAAGGTCCTTTCTCTCAGTGCTGCCTGCATGTGTTAGGAGCCCTGGCTTGCTCTATTAATAGTCTCAGATGGAGGGAAACTCTCTTCACATCCAAAGGATGAGTCCCACCCAGCTTCTGGGCAGCCAGCAAGGGGCAAGTCTGCAGACTGAATTACTATTCCCTTTTTCTCCCTCCCCCTCAGAGGCAGGGTTCCTGGATGACTCAGTCTACGACAGTGCAGCCCTGGGGCCTGGCTATGACCGCCCCTTCCAGTTTGATCCCAATGTGCGGGAGCCCAAGACCATCCAGCTCTATAAACACTTGAACCTGAAGAGCTGTGTCTGGACCTTCGATGCCTATTACGACATGACAGAGTTAATTGACGTCTGTGGGGGGTCAGTCACTGCCGACTTCCAGGTGGGTGCTCCAGGGTCTTATAGGAAGGCTGCGTGTACCTGGGTGCCATGTAAAACCTGTTTGTTCCTGAAGCACTTCAGTTAGCATTTTGCATCTAGTAGCCTCCAGAACTGGGCCAACCAACTAAGGAAGTTTTCTTTATAAGTCCCTCTGCTGAAATCTTTGCAGCATTGTGGCTAGAGAGAGCCTCCCAAAGTCCTCTAAATAAATTATTTGTAAAATTAATGTGGGAAATGTTCAAGTTAATATGAAAAAAATTACTGTCTGGCACAGTCATTTATATAAAAATCTAGTATTTACTTCTCTGGGTATATATGTTCTTTCCTCTGGATACATTTTGGAAAGCCAGAACAATTTACATTAGATGGTAGATTTATAACTAAGTAGATGTGTTCTTTTCCCCGCCTGGAGAAATGAATCAAAATGACAGGCGGTGCACCCTGACTTTCAGAAGACAAGTAGGGCACTGTCATCCTAAGCATTATGGAGAGAGAATTGTTTAAAACACCTTCATTTCATATTTATTCCAAGCCGATAACCCTTGTAAAAATTGATGCTTTTTTAATAGCCATTAAACATTAGTGACAAAAGAAAGCGTTACAGTAAGAAGCCATAGTCATAGGAGGGCAGTTATAGCAAATGGACTAGGCCGATGCACCCTCATGGGAAAATAATTTTAAAGCAGGTTCTACCCAATTATGAGCAGTTATCTCAATGAAAAAATTAGATGTTTGGTCTTCATTTCAAATCAGGTTCAACCACGCTGAAAGGGGGAACTTATAGAGGGACTTAGAGTAATCATTTTGCTAAAGTGTCTGTGATTAAAATTTGTTTTGGTTCTTTGTGATGCCTCTCATTTTGGTTAACTGTCATTCAGTATACTCTACTGCCCTCTACTGAGTAGAATTTTAAGGCATTCTTAAGTTTTCTTTCCATCACTTCAGTTGGATACTTTTGAAAATGCAAAACTAATTGATTGGTTCCTCCCCTGACTCCTCAAAAGTTAGTATTCTCTGTTGTCCATGATTTTACTTTAATTACATTTTTCGATATCTTTTTTTGGAAAATGCTTAGAAATCTCAAAGACAAGGGTCTTGTTATATATGTTCCACTTTTAAACCAACACAAAAGAATATATACAGAAATACTTCATCATTTTTTTGTTTCTTTAAAAATAGTTGAAACAGCTGATATATGGTAGAAAGAATACAGAACTTAGAACCAAGCTCTAGTGCATATTTTTTTCTCTGTCAAATGTCAGCAAATTTGGACGAGATTGTAACCTCTCTGAACCTCATCTGAAATTGTCACTAATAATCTCAACATAGGAAGGCATCTAGCAGTGTCTAGCACAAAATAGGTATACAATAAATGTTTGTCAGGGTTGTTTTTCTTTTTTAAGGATTCGTAAATATGAAGGTTAAAGAAGAATAAACAAGAATAGAGGAGGGAAAATTAATTTTGCCAGTCAACTAGAGAAGTCCTAGATGCTGTAATATCTACAATCATGAGATTAGGACAAGTGTATTTAACAAAGCCTATATATTTAGGGGGCAGAACATGGTGTGAGACCCAGATAAAATATGAAAGTTTTCTAAAGAATATAGAAGGCATTATAAAGTTTTTTAAAATAAATGTGGAATTAGTAGAGACTTTTGAAAAACTTGGAATCAAATTTTAAATCCCTGACAGTATTGAATATGAAAAAGTTCTTTAGCAAAATAAAATTTTGATGTTCTAAATATTGATAAAGCATTTGGCTCTTGCCTTCAGTTCCCCATGGAAACACTTTACATTGTATTTTCAAACAAAAGAAAAATATAAATTCCATAGTGTATTGTGGTATTTGGTAAATGAAAAAATAAAATTGTTTTAAACTAAGCTTTTTGTCATAAAGAATATATATTTATGAAGAAAAATATAAAACATTTTTTAAAGTGAATAAGCCAACTCCCCACTCATACACACGTACACAGTTAGCTCCCTGTGAAAGCTTCTGCTCATATTTTATCTCTACATTCAGTTTTTGTTCATTGCATAGTAAAATAAAAATTATTGAGCCAAATTAAAAGCACTAACAGGAACCCCCTTAAAAGAAGTGTTCTTTCAGTAGTATGATGTTCTGCCTTTTCAAAATTATTTCAACACAGCGTTGTATTAGATGGGAAATCATCCCAGCATATGCAGCTCTGGGCTGTCTGTTGGTAAGTTTCCTATAAATGATATCCGAATCCCACGACCTGTGTTCCTGGAGCAAGAGCTGTGAGTACTCACTGATATGTCCAAGTCAGACAGACATTCATGCCAAGGACCCAGATTTGCACATCTTCCCAACTAGGGTTGATTAGGCTCTCCTACAGGTCACTAGAAAGCACGGTCAATACAGAGTATACTGACAGTAGATCGATCCCAGGCCTGTCAGGTCAATCCTTTAGGAATAACTGAAATCTCAGCCAAGGCTTCCAGCAATTGATCAGTGGAGACAAAGCTTCTCACTCTTCAAAGATATTTTTGTTCAAGTGCCACCTCTTCAGAAAAGCCTTCCCACATCACCCTACCTAGGAAGCATCCTGGCCACTTCCCACCCCTTATTGACTTTATTTTTTAAATGTATGTAGCTTCCTTACTAAACAATAGGTTCCATAAGGGCAGTGATTTTGGCTTTTTCCACTGCTGGGGACCCAGCTCCTAGCCTGGTGCCTGGCATCATTGTGGGCGTTTGGTTAATAATTATGAATGAGTGAGTGACTGAATGAGTGAGTGGAGATGGAACCAAGATGTGGTGATCATAGGCCTTTTCATCCCAGGGGAAAAATAACCCTCCTGATGTGCGCTGTGTTTGCTTGGCAGGTGAGAGACTCTGCTCAGTCGTTCCTGACAGTGCACGTGCCTCTCTATGTGTCCTACATCTATGTGACAGCTCCCCGGGGCTGGGCCTCCTTGGAACACCACACTGAGATGGAGTTTTCCTTCTTCTACGACACTGTTCTCTGGAGAACAGGTATACCCATCGACATAGTAACCAGTCCTACCTTACACTCCAGCAAGATTAAAAGAAAAAAATAAGTAGTGATTTTTAACAGTAGCTGCATTCCTCATCCTGTTGTCCTATATACAGTCCAAGGAGGGCTGCCTGAAGTCTGGAAAGTGTACAGATCTGTGGTTCCTGAATAAGAATGTGGTCCCTCTATGCTAGAGAGCCTGTAGGGATGAGGAATTCAGCCCAGATAGCTAGGAGCCCAGAGTAGAGGAAGGCAAGTGACAATGGGTCACTCCCATCCTGCCCATTAGGAGTTCAGAAGAGTGTGGTTTCTTTTGGGGCATAATCATGTGCACTTTCTCTTAGCTAAAAATGGTGTGATTTGTGTTGTTTAAGGGGCAAAAAAGGGTCTTCAAATCAGATGCATGGAAATGCGAAAATATATCAAGAGCCACTTGGCTCTCTTCATTTATTTGACCTAGAGTTTGCTGTTTTGTTGCGTTCTTAAAAGTTGGGACTTTAACCCTACTATTACTTCAGGGGTTTCAATGCTGAATTTTTTAAATGACCTTCACCTCAGTCTTGTCTCTGGATTGTGACCGCACCTCAACTGGCTCGCACCTCCCATGGCTCCCCCTACCACCTCCTCTCACAGCTCACATGAATGCACCTTAAAACTCAATGATTCTCTCCTCCATTAACTCTTAAATGGATCTGAGTTGGTTTTTAGCTTTTTTTCCCACTTTCAGTGTCCTGTACTTCAAAATTACCCCTAACTCATTTTCCCTACTTCTATTGTTCTCATTATCCCCCCCCCCCCCACCACAAGAGGTGATCTACTTGATCTGAGGCAGACACACTAAAAAGCTGCAGGAGCTTTCTTTAAACAGGGCTTCATCTCTCGTCATGGAAAGTACAGTCCTTTCTTCTGTTAAATGATTTAAGCTCAAATTATTGATTTGCTTTATATCTCTTCTAGAAAAATAACTTCAGAAAGTTTTTATACTTTGTGTCCGATAATGCCTTCCTTGAGCTTTGGTTTTTGTGTTTGTTTGTTTTTAACTCCCCCCCCCCTTTTTGTTTTCCCTTTAATTTTGAGTCATACTGAACTCACTGGGTATCATGATTGCAATTGACCTTACCAAAGCTACAGTTTACTCACGTCATGCCATGATAGCTGGCCTTCTAAGCTAACCTTAATTCTTTTTCGGTTTGAATACTAAATGCAGTCACCGGGACTTTGTGTATGGTTCCATTAGGTCCTAAAATGTGCCTTGGTGAAGAAAAGAAAATACGCTGTAAAGCAGATGTGCTGTAGCCACATCCTGGTGTAAAGTTCACAGTAAGAAGTTTTAAGAACCGTTTTTTTCCCCAATCAATGGGTTGTGGCCCTGCAGCTGAGCAAGTGGCACTTATAGGTATAAAGAGACTATGTCAAGGACAATGGAACTGTAAAACAGAATGAAATAGAACCAGCTGTTCTTTCTACAGTTTTAATTGGCAAATGTTCCTGTGTCTATGTAAATTTTTTCTTAAGTTACATTCAAATGAATGTGTTGTTGTATTTAGAGGTGTGACTGGGATAACTTACCTGTAGGTTACTGTCTGGGAGGTCTTCTCCATGCCCTAACGTGGGTGTTTTGTGTGTGGTTGCCTGCCCAGGAATCCAGACAGACAGTGTGCTCTCTGCCAGGCTTCAGATATTAAGAATCTATATTCGAGAGGATGGCCGTCTCGTCATTGAATTCAAGACCCATGCCAAATTCCGAGGTAATGTCATTACTGTTTTTTCCTCAGCTTTTTATCAAGAAATATTTCAAACACAGAGAGAACTTGAAAGAACAGTTAGAAACAAAGTCAACTATTGTTAACATTTTGCTATATGTGTGTATAAACATGCATACCCTTTTTTTAATTTTTTTTTTTTGTCACACCATTTGAAAACAAGTTGCAGGCTTCATGTCAAGTTACCATAAGCACTTCAGTAGCCATCTCCTGAGAACAAGGACATTCTCTTCCACATCACAATAACATCACCACATCCAAGATATTTGAGTTGATCCAATATTATCAAGTCCCTATTCATATTTTCTCCATTGTCTCCCAAATGTCTTTTCTACTTGTTTTATATTAGTTTATATTTACTTTATATGTTTATTAAAAGGAAGAATCCAATCAAGGTTTCCATGGTACATTTTGGCTGTTATTTCTCTTTAGACTCTTGTAATCTAGAATAGTCTCCCTACTTTTATTTATTTATGACACTATATGACTGCAGTTTTAAAGAACAGAGGTGGCTCACTGGGTAACCTTTACCTTTTTAATCATGTTTATAATCATCTCCCTCCACCAAAGACTTGAGTGGCACTAAATGAGATTTTTTAAATCCAAAATTGGTATTTCTATTTATAAACTACTGAGACCTTTTTACATCTAAGAAACATGTTGGTTGGAATTCAAAACTAAGTTTACTCAATGTTGGTTGTCACACAAGGACCCCCTACTATTGTGAATATATTCATTAGCACCATTTCTACAAGGCACATTCATATTGTTTATTAATCTCTATGATCATAATGGCCATCATGAGTAGGATAATGGGCTGAGGTGAGATGCTATGCTGTCCCAACCAGTGTGGAATATATTTTAAGGACTAGAGGGTAGGTATAACTTCAGTTATTTGATTAAAGGATATTAAATTCAGTTCTAAGGCTTATAGAGCATCACCACAAGTACAATCAAACTCACAAGTAAGTATGTACGTTTCTCTTTGAAATAGGACAGTTTGTGATGGAGCACCACACACTCCCTGATGTGAAGTCTTTCATCTTGACTCCAGACCACCTAGGAGGAATTGAATTTGGCCTGCAGCTACTGTGGAGTGCTCAGACCTTCGATTCTCCGTATCAACTCTGGAGAGCCACAAGCTCTTACAACAGGTGAATACAGGGTGGGTGCGTTCAGCGGAAGGTCTGAAATGGTTGATTTCTTTCAGGAGTTTGGGAAATAAAGCTTTTATTCAAAGGCTGGATTTCTATTTTAAAAGGAGGAGAGATAGAAACAACACTCTGGCAAATAGGTAAAGAAACAACTTTAGCTCAGATCAGCTTCCGATGGGTAAACCAGGAACCTCATTCCCAGGATCAGACCAGGCAGGGTGCACATCATTCTACTCACATTCTATTGGCTAGAACTTAATCATATGGTACCTCTACCTGCAAGGGAACCTGGGAAACTTGAGTATAATAAAGAAATTGCATTCCAATTACTACAACCATGGCAAAATCCAGGAACTCTGGTATTAGGTCTAGAGGTCACTCCTTATGGCCCAATGTCCTATAAAATAAATTACCCCCAATATAGAGATGGAAGAGAAACTGGATAAATAGAGTCAACTTTCCCATTGTAAGATGGAAGGCTAGGTAAAACAAAATTAAAACTATTATCATAAAAAGAATAATGGGGAACCAGGAGTCTGTCTTAAATATTATTATCCCCATATTATAGATCATAAAATTAAGATCTATGTTTAGCATGAAAATCTTACTCTAGCTTTATAGTCAAGAAGTGGCAGATTGTCTTAAGAATCATTTCAAAAAGATTTCTTTAATTATAAAGTTTTGGTCTTATATCAGATACTTTTTTGTATAATGACTCCTTTGGAATTGATATGCAATAACCTTCAAGGGCTGTGGTTCCTAGAAGATCATGAGATTATGCATATACTTTGTCCCAATTTATAGGGAGAGAAACTGTCCTCTTCAATCTTCTATTGACTCCCTACCACCTACCAGATGAAGTTCAACTCTTTATACAAGGCTCATCCCCTCTCCTCTAGCCTCAAATTAAACCAAACTTCTAGCCACATCAAATGTCTCCCCAAGCCCTGAACCCCAGGCCATCAGTACCTCCGTGCCTTTGCAATTCCCTCTGCCTGTCCCACTTCTTTCCTTTTGCAAAACTCAAACTGTCTGAGCTGCAGTTCAAATACTGACCCTCTGTGACACCTTCCTTGACTCCTAGGAGCTCCTCTTCCCTGCTCCCACTTTGTCCCAGCTTCCAGCTTGTACGATAACACAGCTTATTATATTATAATGCTCTAAAGAAAGTCCCATTTTCCACTAGATTGTGAGCCTCCACAGGGTAAAAGGCATGCCTGATTTCTCTTGAATCCCCAGAGAACTGTAGGTTTTAGCATATGGTAGGTCCTGAATAAACATCCTTTTGGAGCTTACTTTTGAGATAAGGAGGTAAAATACAGAGATAAATGGCAAGTGAAGAACAATACAAGTTCTGTGCTCTAAGCCCTGTGAAAGGTACCGAACCCCAAGACCATAGCTGTCCAAGACCATGGCCTGCCACAGTCTGGGGAGTTGTACAAGGTTTCTGGGGTGGGTTGGGGGGCAACATATGGGGAAAATGTCCGGTTTTTACAAAGGTGGGGAGAACTATAGGATTAAAAACCTGTATCTGGGACTATGTTTGGCATATTTGTAAGGATAGTAAGGACATCAACCTAAATTGCATTTAGGGATAGGGAAAAACAGAACTGTAAGCCTGGGAGACCATGCAATTTGTCCTATATTCATTTGTTCAATAAATAGTCACTAAGCAGGTACCGTGTGTCAGGGAAGGTTCTGCACAGAGAGAAGACATCTGTGGACAAAATAAAGATCCCTTAGAGAAAGGAGACCCAAGAGTAGATATAATCAATAAGAACAGTATAACATATTCAAAGGTGATAAGGTGATGAGTGCTATGGAAAAAATAAGCCATATAGAGCAGGGTAACCAGAATTAGGAGAAGGGGGACATTGTCATTTTAATTAGAATGTTCAGAGTAGGCCTTATCAAGAAGATACCTTTGAGCCAAGGCTAGAAGGAGGTAAGGGAGTTTGTTATGAAGATTATCTGGGGAAGCGGTTCCTGGCCGAGTTCCTGAGGCGGCAGCACTTCTGGATGATGGAGGTGGGACGTGGGAAGCAAGGAGGCCAGGGTGGCTGAGTGGAGTGAGCAAGGAGGAAGGTCATAGGCAATAAGGTCAAAGAAGTTAGGAGATAGGGTAGGGCCACCCTGCAGGCCAGTGTGTGGACTTGGGCTCTTACCTAGTGCAGCGGGAGCCACCTCAGCATTTGACTAGAGGAACGACATGATCTGGCCTGACTTTTTGAAAGCAAAGGTCAGGCATGGACTGTTCTGCTTAATTAAATATTTTTGTTAATTAAGGGTTACTATTCACATTGTACATGTTGATTCTCATGAAATTCAAATATGATGTACCCAGTCTCATTTTCTGCTGGTCTAAGCTTTGCAGGAAGATGGGAAAACTTCAGACATATAGACTTTCAGGGCCCAAAGGGGTTTAGAAACTAAGCCCTGAAAGTTTGCATGATTGGTCTAAAATCATACAACCGTGAAAGAGACAAAGCCACACAAGGGTTAGGCTCTCTCCCAGTTTCCACCCTGCGCCATACCACCAAACTGACGCCAGGATGTGCCATGAACGTTTTATTTAATTATATTTTTACGAAATTTTTACTATGACTTTAGTCATAAATAGATATAAATAATACAAAAGAAGTGGTCAGAGAATGAACACGGTGGGTGTAAGAACTGTTCACAGATCTCTCACAGCAGTTATAATTAAGATTCAAAGCCCTGTGCTCTTCATTCAATGGATGGCAGCCTCCCAAGGCCCTTGAAGAATCTTCCTGAAGCTTCTGGATGTCTGGCTGCCTTCCAGGCAACCTGCCAGGGCTGGGCTGCAGCTCGAAGACAAGTATGGGAAATGAAGTAGGTGAGGGTTACAAAGGCTCCATGCTTTCAGTGTCACGATCGACAGTCTTGTGCCCCACCATAAACAGGGAAGTTCCCAGTGAGTAGTCTCGTGTGAAAAGTGATATTGTTTTTCAACTTCATAAAGGGAGGAGGCTGTGGAGTTTGGGAAAGGAGCCCCAAAACTGAATGCTACTGAAATGGGGGTCTGGTCTTTCTCTGAAGGGGTGTCATTTAACCCTGAGACATTTGCTACCTCTCCTACAAGACCAGCAGCTGACACAGTCACATGCTAATAAATAAAAGCTTTTGCAATTGAGAACGCGTTGAACAGGGTGTCAGTCAACAAGAAACAGTAAACAGAAATGGCCAAACAAATCTCATGGAAACCTACAGGAAGTGGCTGGTTCTGGTTTGTCTTTGCCTGAGCCTTTCAGGTTTTTATAAACAGTGTGCCTTTCTCAGCTTTCCTCATGAAAAGGACTTGAATAAGTGAAAGTAGCTCTATTTAACACCTCTGAATAATACTGACAGAAAATCAGTGATGAATTCTTAAAAATTATGTTTGCAGACTCATAAAGTTCTTAGATGTGCGGCACCAACACTATCTGAAAACTGTTTAACGAAGTCAGTGTATTTCTAGGTAAGTGAGTAATCTACAAATCATTCCCTCTAACCACAGTCCGCTCTGCATATTTCCAGGAAGGACTACTCGGGGGAGTACACCATCTACCTGATTCCTTGCACAGTGCAGCCCACACAGCCGTGGGTTGACCCAGGAGAGAAGCCTTTGGCCTGTACTGCGCATGCCCCAGAAAGGTAGGGAAACAGAGTCGAGCCTCACTATTTATGAATTTTCCTACTTGGTAACACATATTTGTAATCCCAAAACTAATTTTTGTGGTACTTTCATGGTCATTTCTAGACATGCAGAGTGGCAAAATGTTGAGTCACGTGACACACACATTCCCAGCTCCGACTGAGCAAGGCAGTGCTCTGCCATCTTGTTTCAGCTCTCCTACTGTAAACAAGTGTTCTTTTTACGGTCTGTTTACATTTCTTGTGCTTTCACTGGTGATTTCCCTGTTTAAAATGGCTCCCAAGCATACTGCTGAATTGCTGTCTAGTTCCTAAGTACAGGAAGGCTGGGATGTGCTTTATGGAGTGTTAGATAAAGTTCATTTGGGCATGAGTTTTAGTGCTGTTGCCATAAGTTCTATGTTAATGAATCAACAACATATATTACCCAAGGTGTCTTTAAGCAGAAATGTGCATTAAACAAGGTTAGGTATTAATCAGTTGATGAAAATGTGGGGACCAGAGGCCGTAGGAACTCTACCCTATATTTCCCCTAGAAACAATGGTTCAGTCTTCACTATTTCAGCACTTGTTGCAGCTTTGTAACATAGCTACCATGAATGATGAGAATCCGCTGTACATCAGCCCCTACCCTCCTCAGATCTGAGACTGTCTGCCTTGTGCTAACGTTTATTCATTCAGCCAGTGTCCAGTCAGCTCTTACTATGTGCTTTGCTCTGACCTAGGTGTGGAGATTGTAGCAGAGGATTGAAGTAACCTCTGCTCTCAATGTATAGTCTAACACTACCTTTCTAGGATCTGAGCAAAGTGAATAGAAAACACTTCTGAGAGAAGATGCTGAGAACAGAATCTGACATTACTATTAAAAGAAGACAATTTGGAAATTGACTTTCAAATTAAGAGCCTGAATTGCCTATTGGATTTGGTGATATGGAAGTCATTGATGATCTTGACAAAGGGCAGGTTCAATGGACTCAGGGGATCAAGCCGGATTAGAGTGGGTTCAAGAGAGACATGAGAAAGTGAACAAGGGAAAACAGTGCTTAAGGAGTTTTGTTAAAAGGACGTCAGAAGAGCAGGGCATTAGCTGGAAATAGATGAGTGGTCAAAGGGGATGTGTTTGTGGGGTTTTTTGTTGTTTGTTTTTGGTTTTTTTAGCTGAGCCATCCTGCCACCTGTTGGCAGCTCAGCAGCAGTTCAGCTCGAGCCGGGAATCGAACCAGCAACCCTGTTGTTCAGAGCTCGCACTCTTGAGCAAGCTCTTAACCAACTGAGCCACTCGGCTGGCCCTGTGTTTGTGTTTTAGGGTAAAAAATATTTCCAGATGTTTGTATACTGGTGGAAATAACCCTTTAATTGAACGTAAGGAATGGTCAGATGTACTCTATTGGAAGAATAAAGTATTGAAATTATCACTCATCATTATTCTTTAACAAATATGTGTGTCTGGAGCTTGGCTAGAATTGAAGATACAATGATGAGCAAATAGATATGGGACCATATAACCACAAAGCCTAAAATATTTACTATTTGGCCATTTACAGAAAAACTTTGCCAACCCCTGTTCTAGGTACTTATACCCAAATTCTTAAAAACATTCTTGACTCCTATCTTACTCTGGGTCTCTTATGCCCCACATCTAGTTCGTCAACCAAGCTTATGGGCGTCCCCTGTAAAATATATGAATTCAATCATTCTCACAGCCATTTGGCAACTGTCCTGGTCAGAACCACTGTTATCACTTACCTGGAGTACTGCAGTAGCCTCCTAACATGTCACTCTGCTTTCACTCTCCAGTTTATCCTGAACAAGTAAACCCCACTCACTTTCTCAAGACCCCCCACCTAATAGTTTAAGTAAAACCCAAAGACCTTACCGTTTGGGGTAAGGCTCATGTGGCCTCCAGTTACCTCTGTGGTCTCATCCTCCTCACTCGCTTTGGTTTAGCCATTCTGGCTGATTGGTTGTTCCTCTAACATATTGGGCACACTTGTTACCCCAAACCTTTGCTCTTGCTGTTTCCTCTGCCTGGAAAGCTTTCTCCCCAGCTAGCCATATGACTTACTCCCATACCTCCTTCAAGCCTTTGCATAAACCTTTTCTTCTCACGGAGGCCTGCCGTGACCACCATATTTAAAATTTCCAACTAAACCTCTTCCTAGCATTCCCTTTCTCTGCCTAATTTTTCTCCTAGTTACCTCTTACCTTCCAGTGTACTATATTGTTATTTTTTAACTCATTTTCTTTATTAACTATCTCCCTATTAGAATATAACCTTCCTGAGGGCTTTGCTTACAAATGAATTCCCATTATAGAAACAATGTCTATCACATAACAAATCTCAGTGAATGGATGTTGAACAAATGAGTCCCAAGGCAGTAGAGCGGAAGGAGTAGGGAACAGGCCAGGAGGCCTAGCGAAGGCCAGCGAAGTCTGGCTGCAGGAGTCCTTACCTGCCAGAGGCAGAGAGGAAAGAAGCAGATTCAAAAGACCAGGAAAGAAGGCCAGGGAGGCAAGAGGCAGGCAAGAGAGTATTGTCTAGCAATGAAGAGTGGGACATAGGATATAGAGTTTTGATCATGTTGAAAGTGTCAAAATCTCAGAGCATGTGGGCCTGGGAAGGAGAAATCAAGGCAGGGCACCATGACAGCGAGTCCTTTCGCAATCAAAGAGCAACGTTGGGGGCCTTCCGAATGAAAGGCCAGGAAAAGCCAAGAATACTGAAGAGCTCTAAAGACAAAATAGATTATTTTTGTTTAAAAAAGCAGATTAACCTCATAATGACCCAAACTAATAACATCCCTCTCCTACGCACATCTCATTACTCGGTAAATATGAGCACTGTTCACAATCCTGAGAAGTGTGGGAAGGAAGGGGCAGTGTGAATGATGCATGCAAAGTTGACCTGCTCTCAAGGAACGTTTGTTTCTCCCACGTTTAGATTCCTGATACCCATTGCATTCCAGCAGACCAACCGCCCCGTGCCCGTTGTGTATTCACTCAATACTGAATTTCAGCTGTGCAATAATGAGAAGGTGTTTCTAATGGATCCCAACACATCTGATATGTCACTGGCAGAAATGGATTACAAAGGAGCCTTCTCAAAAGGTGAGTTGTTTCCTTCGGCTGCAGAATGAGATGCTGGCTGGATTTGAGAAGCTTCTGGGTCAATCCCTGACCTAACATCTCTGCTCAGCAGTTTTCAGTCAATTCTCCAGTGAAGATTCCCTTGGGGTTGGTTCCAGGGCAGCCAATATTTAGGCAAGGAACAGACTCATATTCTTCCTTCATGTTGTTTCACAGTTAAGATCCCATACTTGACACTATATTAATTGGCAGTGTGGCACTATAGAAAAGCACTAGTCTGAGTAGTAAGAAGGATAGAGTTTCCAATGAACCAGATTCTAATGCACTATCTGTGGGTAAGTTACTGTATCTCTCAATTCCTCAGAGATTGCAATATGAATCCCACTGCCTGCCAGCCTCAAAAGTATGTCCAACATATATGTATATATGCTCTCCATCATGCTTTTTCTACTTGAAATGGTTCCTCTGCCTGCTCCCTGCCCCAAACATGGTTCCCTTTGCAAAAGCCTAGCTTCTTCTTCTCTTTCAGTGTTAACCTCCTCAAAAACTCTTTCCCTGACCACCCAGACAATCTAACATAGACCTTCATATTTTTCACTTTCACAGAACACTGTTCATTTTTTAAGTACTTATCACATTTTTTAACATTATATAATGTAGATTATATATTTCTTTATTTATTGCCTAGCTCTACCATTAGACTGTAAGAGTAGAGATTGTGATCAAATATCAAATTTGCACACCATACCACTGGTGTCTAGGTGATCAATAAATATGTGTTGAATGAATAAATTAATCAATTATCTGCCTTTCTTCTCATAATTACCCCTTCTGCCTTTTTCTTACCTTTTTTTTTTTTTAAAAAAAAAGATGTTTATTGGGGAGTTGGGGGATGGGAACAGTGCTGGGGAATTGGGGGAAGGGGAACAGACAAGTTGCTGCCGTTTTTTGTTCTTCAGTCTAGTTGTGGAGGACGTTGCTTCACTGACCCAAATTGGCACCATCATTGCGCTCTTCCTGGGCGAGGCAGATCAGTCACCAGCTTCTGGATGGCCGGTCACGCTGGCTGCTGTCTACACACAGTAGCCCATGGCAACCCACTGCTGCAGGGGCTGCAGCCTATGCTGTTGCCAGTGACTCACGGCAGTCCAGCTCCAGATTGAGCTGTTGTTCAGCATCTTAGCTGTAGAGGGCAGTGTCACTGGCCCTCATATGTGGGATCCGAACCGGGGCCCTCTGGTGTCCCAAGACAGCTCTTAACCAACGCGGCACTCGGCCGGCCCCCTTTTTCTTACCTTTAATCTTCTCCTCATATCTGGGTTTTTTTCTCTCATCCTAAAAATGCATTGAAGTCCTGCCCATAACACACAAAAAAATTCCTCAACCCCACTTCTCCTTCAAACTTCAGCACATTTTCTACTTTTCTTTGAGAAACTTCCCAAAGTAGTGGTGAATACACACTGTCTCTGTGGCCTGTCTTCACAATCACTCTTCCATCCATCTGTTGCAGGCTGGGTTGGTCCCACCACGATTCAGAACTCTCTTGTGTCAACACCAAACCCATGAATTTTGACACTTTTTTCCTATTTGCTTTTCTTTGCACCAGCCTCCCCCAACACCGCCTTGCCTCTCTGAAAACTTTTCACGCTCCTGCCCTGGGCCTCCATCCTCTGCCCTGTCTGTGGAGTTGTCCCCAGGCTCCCATCTTAGCTCTTTCTGGTCTCATTTCAGTGCTACCTCTGGCCATCCTCAGGGCTTGGTCCATCCCTTAACTCTGAATCTCCCATACTCTTGCTACTCTACAGACATTCTATAAAAGTTGACCTTATCCCTGATCTCACCTGATCTTCATTTCCTTATTTCCACATCATGCAATCTGGAACCCCCAAGCCTCTCCAAGTGGATATCTTTTAGACCCCTAGAGATGTCAAAACCTGGACTTATCTTCCTCCAGACATGCCTCTCCCACATCTGCTGCCCTATTGACTGGTCACCACATTCCAGGTGCCCCAGGCAAACACCTCAGGGTAATCCTCCACTTCTCCCTCACGTCCCATATCCCATCTGTCATCACAATGAATGGAATCCAACTCTGAGGCATTTCTTGATCCATCCCCTTGCCTCACAGCTATATTTTAGATACCTGTCTCTCCCTAGAGCATTCAAATAGCCCCTATCTGATCTCTGTGATGTGAGTCTCTTTGTCTTTCCTCCATTCTCTGTTTTCTGCAACTCCAGTGTGTTAATATTACACTCCTGCTTAAAACCTTCCAGTATTTCCTATTACTTACATACTTAAGTCCAGAATCCTCAACACCATTAGTCTATCTTCTCAAGAGTCTCTCCTGCTAGAGCTTCTACGCATCCTCCAGTCCAGTCACACTGATCTACCAACATAGTAAATGTTCTGTCTGGACCAGCGTTTGGAGCCAGACGGATTTGTGCTCAACTCCTGTCCCTCTTGTCACAGATAGGAAAATTTGGACAAGTTATTTTAAACGGGGATAATAATTACCTATCTGTTGGGCTCCTGGGAGGATTAAATAAGATAAAGTTGGTGAAGAACTTGTTACCATAGCGGGCACTAAGGAAACAATAGCTACAGCAGGACTGGTACCCTCTGGCATTCGGTATTTTGTTTATGGATTCTCTTTTACCTAGAGTGCTTTCCCAGATTCTCTCTCCCACCTCAGATGCTCTATCTGACAATTGCCTACTTGTGTTTCAGGATGCTGCTCAAATATCACCTCCTCATTAAATCCTTCCACACCTCCCCCCAGGCAGATTTCTGTACTCAACTATATGCTCATTTAACATTGTGTACCTTCCTCTGTTGTGGATCATAATGATCTAGTGTTGTGGTGGTTAATAGTGTGGGCTTTAGAGGCAAAGTACCTAGACTTTGAATCCCATTCTCACCACTTACTAGCTTGTGACCTTCTGCACATCACTTAACCATTCAGTGCTTTGATTTCCTTATCTGTAAAATTGTCAGCACCACATGCATTCTTACATGGGAAGGACTTTGTACAGTACCCAGCATATAGTGTGAGTTATTAGCTATTTTTATGTTAGCTATTTTTAGCAATTGCTTAGCTTTTATTTCTGTCTTCTCAACTACACCTCATTCACCTTTGTGTCCCCTGCACATAACAGAGTGCTTAGCACAGCTTAAATGCTTAATTAATTAATTTATCAAATAAAGGAAGCAATCAATGAATGAGTATTTTAGCGGCACATGGATTCATAGAACTCTTTATAGAGAGGTACGTGTACTTTTGACTCTAAGGGAATGTGTTAAATCCTTTCTACCCGTGACATTTCTTTCTCTTTAATCTTAAAGTTCAACCTAATTAATGCCTGTCAATCTTTCCAGGTCAAATCCTTTATGGCCGAGTGCTTTGGAATCCAGAACAAAACCTTAATTCTGCTTACAAACTTCAGCTGGAGAAAGTCTATCTTTGTACTGGCAAGGATGGCTATGTCCCTTTCTTTGATCCCACTGGGACAATCTACAATGAAGGGCCACAGTACGGATGCATTCAACCCAACAAACACCTAAAACACAGATTCCTCCTGCTGGTACGCGAACATTAGTGTTCAAGGGCTGACACTCAAGTAGATTTTTTCTGCTATGAATTCTGCCTAAATCAGATAGAACCCCTCTCTTGATGGTTTTCTCTTTATATATGTATTGTTGTTGTTGTTGTATCTTTCTGATCAGCTAAATTCTAGTACATGTTGCCAAATGTGATAGTTATGGTGGGGAACAAGGACAAGCTATTATTGTCCGAGAAAAAGGAAAGTCTCGGCCAGTGTTTTTCAAAGTATGGTCCAGAGACCCCTGAATATCCTGAATACTCTTTCAGGGAGCCCAGATCGTCAAAACTGCTTTCATAACAATGCAATGATACTTGCCTTTTTCAAACTCATCCCCTCATGTGTGTAGAGTGTATGAAAGGTTTATAGATATAGTTTCAGAGTCCACATTGAAACTAATCTTTTAAAAAGTATGACTTAACCAAGTTTGTATTTAGTATCAAAAAAGTATATGCACAATTTTCTGAAAAACCTATTAAAACGTTCCTTCCTTTTTCAACTACATAGCTGTGTGAGGCCAGGTTTTCTTCATATACTTCAGCCAAAACAACATATCACAACTGACTGAATATAGAAGAAGCCATGAGAATCTAGTTCTTTTCCAGAGATTTGAAAAAATGTAAAACAATGCCAGCTTTCTTTGGGGGTGGTAGGGGGCGAATATAGGTATTTTCTTTAAAAAAATATGTTACTTATGTTACTATGTAATGGATTTTTCATTGCCATTTTAAAATGAATTTGTTAATAAGTATTTTTTTAATTTTTCAGTGTTAATTTTAATACAGTAAATATAGATAGATAAAAGCCACATAAACAAAAGACTTTTGGTGTCCTTAATTTTTAAGCAGGTAAAGGGTCCTGAAACCAAACAGTGTCAGAATTATTTGTCTAGGCTACCCCATTCTTTATGTTTTGAGATCACAGAGGCCACCAAGTGTCCTTTCTTGAAGAGAGGGCAGTGGGTGCCCGGAGGCAACAGTCGACCTAAGAAGAGGGCTTCTGCAGCACAGGCTCTCCTGACCCGACCCGAGGCAGGAGTAGAGAGAACCTTTCTCCCCCCAGTGACCACCACCTACCAGTTCAGTGGGCCCAGCTTTCTAAATCTTGCTTTTTTTTTTCTTTCCCTGAAATTCTAGGACCGCAGTCAACCAGAGGTAACTGATAAGTACTTTCATGACGTGCCCTTTGAGGCCCACTTTGCATCTGAGCTGCCTGATTTCCATATGGTCAGTAGCATGCCAGGTGTGGATGGATTCACTCTGAAAGTGGATGCACTCTATAAGGTGAGTGTGGTGAGAAGAGGAGAAGCGGAGCACCAAGGGCACTTCAAAGGTTGCAAAAAATCGGACAACATCATCTCTGGACTGTCAGTATCTTTTTATGGCATTCTTGCTGGCAGGTCTTTTTTATTGTTGTTAAGCTTATCATTCACCCAAAATGGTCACCATCTATCCCCAATACAGCGAATAATAATAAAACTCTTTAATCTATATATAGCCATTTGTCATTGTATGCAGTAGGGTACATATAATACTCTAATTTTTTTAATTTTTTCTATATTGCCTGCTTTCAGGCTTTATTCAGAACCAGCTGATTTTCACAGGCATGGAAAACATTTAACAAAATCATAAATAAAATATAGCAGTTTAGAATGGGAAGAATTACTAGTATTTGATAAGCAAAAATCTCTTAAGTCCCAGTGATAACCAAGAACTCCCAAGGTCAAATACCACTTTTTTCTGTCTCCAAATAGTAATCCATGACCTTATATTTCAGAATTATTATTACTCTTTGGAAGTTACTTCAAAACCATTGAGGGTTTTAATGGGGGCAGATAACATGGAAATGAAATACTTAATAATATAACCGCTCAGGGGGTGATCCAGGAAGTATTCAGATTTAACAAATGTTTGACAAGTATCTGCTTATTATCCACAAAGTAGGTGTTTAGTGAATATTTACTGAATGACTCTGTGACTCTGTGTTAGCTAAAGTGCATTTAAAAATAGTAAATTAGCATAATATACAATTAAAGGTCACTGAGAATAAGTGTGGTTATTAATACTATTATATCACTGTTGTCAATGAAGACCAACAAATTAGAAGCACTTACTTACTAAAGAGACCAGGAAAGGTAAATTATTACAGCTATTCTATCAACAGATAAGGAAAAAGAAAAGAATGTGTATAGGTGGACCAAGATCACCTTAATTTGAAAATAAAATGGAATTCCATAATATTTGGTTCCATTCTCTAATAGTAGACACCAACCATAGCTAATGATTTTCGTGAAGCTGTTTATGTGTCAAGGCTTGTGGTGGCAACTGTCTTTCCACTTCCTTTCTTCACAGGTGGTCTGTGGGCAACAATGATGTGTTCAGTTTGTTCTGTTTTTCTCCTGCAGGTGGAAGCAGGACACCAGTGGTATCTCCAGGTGATCTACATCATCAGCCCTGACACCGTCTCAGGGCCCCGGGTCCAGCGCTCTCTCACAGCCTCTCTGCGGCGCCACCGAAGGGACCTGGTAGACCCTAGCGGTCAGCTGACCCTTGACGATTCCCTCATCTATGACAACGAAGGGGACCAAGTCAAGAACGGCACCAATATGAAGTCCCTGAACCTAGAGATTCAAGAGCCCATTGTCGCTGCTTCTCTGTCCCAAACTGGGGCATCTATTGGCAGTGCGCTAGCTGCTATCATGCTTCTCCTTCTGGTGTTTTTGGCGGCTTGTTTTATCACCAGGAAGTGCCGGAAACACAGGAAAAAGCCGCCCACAGAGGACATTTTGGAGGAATACCCTCTGAATACCAAGGTGAACATGTCTAAGCGGAGCTCGGACAGGGTGGAGAAGAACGTGAACAGACAGTACTGCACGGTGCGGAATGTGAACATACTGAGTGACAACGACGGGGCTTATGCATTCAAAGGTGCTAAAGTAAAAAAATTGAATCTGGAAGTCAGAGTTCACAACAATTTACAGGACGGGACAGAAGTTTAATGGAGGACACCCATGTGTATTTTTTTCTAAAATCATTTTTATAAAACAGGGGGAAATACTGGTATTTTTATAATAATCTTGCAAATTAAAAAGGGAAAACTGTAGCTTTAAGCGGTGGAAGGCACACATCACATGCATCAACTCACAACTGAGCTACCTCATTAAACACAACCACTGAGGACCCCAGGTTATTGGAATAGTTCTTTCTGTGGATCCCTTTAATAGTCTCAGCAGCTACGATTGCTCCTTATGCAAGGCTGATCTAAGAAAGCCGTGTTTTACCATTAGGACAGGAGTTAGACAATGAGGTTAGCCAATGGAGTTCAGAGGACTGCGGAATGCACAGTGGCAGATCTCAGGGGGGGTTGTGGTTCAGGGCCTTTGGTTTCCTCCCCCACCTCAGCTTTCTTCTGCTTGGGCTTTTTCCTGGGCCTCTGGGCAGCAGAGTTCAAATTGCTGACACCCAGATTCCATTCAAAATTCTGCTAATCAGCACAACAGATATGTTTGCTCATTGTATCCACTTGACAACCTGCACGCCATGACCTCTAACTATACTTTGCTTTTCCAGAGTCCTTTTTACCTAGGGGTTCAAAGTGCTCTAGACCAGAGCACTTCTTCATAACTCATGGGAGAAACCTTGGGTCTCTCCTGTCAGACATCAGGCATCAGACATCAGGCAGAGCAGAACACCCCTTAAGGAGGGAGAGACTGAAACCTGGGGAAAGAGGGGGCCTGGCAAGCACCTCAGAGCACATTGGTGATGTATTGCCCCCAGGCCCAGGGAGAGGTCCTTCTGCCTGGCTAGTTTATGCTGCACCAAGGACTTGTGAAGACATCCTCCCTGTGGAAGGATACTACAAAACAAGATCAGTGCACCGTGGCCTTCTTATGAGACATTGCCATGGAGGCTTAAAACACCTACAACACTTCCTGCTACCCCAGGCTTTGCCCAGTCCTATAAAAGACAAGCCTGTGTACTTTGCTAGCTGTAGGGCTTTTATTTTTTTAGGGCTTCAGGAAACTAAGTGATTCATTTGAATAAATCAAATTAGGAGAAAGCCCAGTCCAGAGTGAAATCAGTTAATCGGTGCCTACTATTACTCACAGCAGATAAAATATTGGTATTCACCAATATTCAGCAGACAAAGTATTAGTGCTCACAGAAGATAAAAGCACGCTTCCTGGTACCATATTTCAGGGATTTCTCATTTAAAGGGGGTTCTTTTCTGGTAGCTCAGGCACTTATTTTACCATATTAGCACATGACAAGGCCATAAACATATGGCTTTAAAATGTCTTAGTGTTCAAATAGCAGCTTAACGATTTTGCACGTAGTGTGCACACAGCTTGCTTTTGTGTTTCTTTTTGGTCCCTGCCTTACCGGCAAAAACATTAGCATGCATGTCATGTTGTTTTGAAATGGAGGCACAATTCCATTGTTCAGGAGTAAAAGACACGTTCTCTTCCCGATGCATGGCACACCATAATCGCCGAACAAATAACAGCGCACTGACATTGTGTAATATTTGTATTAGAATGACCCAAGCTCTTTGAGAACATTCCAAACTGGAAGCACTTTGGTACTAAAAACTATACAGAATGAACTGCGAAGGGTTTTAAGCATCTCTCCCAGACTCCAAACTCCTTGAGAACAGGACCTGTGTGAGCCATGCCTTTGATTATTCAGCAGTGCCTTGCACATAATAAACACTCCAGAAATATTTGTTGAGTGAACAAATGACTGGTGTCATGGGTGAGTGATAGAGGAATAAATTTAGGAAGGGAGTTGAGAGCAATATCACAAGTTCAAGTAAAGAAAAAAAATAAAAACTGTCTTCTACTGGATTATGCAATAATACTCTTCTTCTCATTGGAACAAAGAACACCAATTTACACAGGCATGACTCTGGTAGTGGTCTTAAAGAGAACAGAAAAGTCCTAACAATGCATTAGGAGGAGAGGAGACTGTAACTCGGTCTCTAGAGCAGGACATTTAGAGGAATGCCTGACTTAGCATTCTGAGATGAGTATAAAGTTTCCAGGAGAGGATGAATTGGGGGAGCCCAGAACCAGAAACTCCTGACTGGTCAGGGGGTACTTGAGACTAGCTCGGGCAATTCGGAGCAGAACTGTATCAGCCTCACAAACATCCAGAATTGGTGTCTCATGGCTGGAGAGCTCACCAGTGGGCATGGAATCTTCTCCAGAAAAACCTAGAAAGTTAATGCTAATTGTACAAGGACAGGAAGCCAGTCATTTGTGGAGCAACTTTTGATTTGGCCCATTATTTGTAACTGCTTCCAGTGCCAGAATGCCTATACATTAAAGCAGCACTTTTCCATTTGTTCAAATATTCTTCTCACATACCCCTTCCATTACTACAGAACTGGACAGATACACGGGAAGAGCACAGATAGAGCAGAATGAAGCTCGTGTGGGAAGCAATGGAGACAGATCTCCGAGTGCTCCTAGCAGCCTCTTTGTAGGTCTGGCAGGACAAGACAGCTTCCTGTGGGGACCCGGAGACAGAAAACTATCTGTTAGAAAGGCAAGCCCTTGGAATATTCCTGCCGCCCTTCCTCTCTGCCCTACCTCCCCCCCCCCATGACATACACACCATTGAATGTGGTATTTCTCTAGTAGATGCACACTTATTACACAGAAAGTTTAAGAGATACAAAGTTGAGATTGACTGCTTTGAGACACACTTTTTCATTTTGTTGTGTTTTATACTTCGTGTGAGGAATCAGATCCTTTGGTGACTGATGTGGGATTATATTTCAGTCAAAACTCTGCTTTCAGTTTCTCTGACTTGCTCACTAATGCCTTGTGTGTGTTTTACTAACCTTTTCTACCATGCTTTTAGGTAAGAAGGAACAAAACCCCTCAGGGGTTGCTATTTGCTATCACATGCTGTGAAGGTTAAAAGGAAGAAGAGTGCACCTTTTTTTCTGTCTCTCTGCCCTTTTCTTGTCCCCCAGGCCTCCTGGAGGACTCCTGCAGATTCTTATGGGTGGATGGGAAATAACGTTGGCATGTGTTTGCACAGTCTTATGACGTTCAGTCTCAGCTTCCTATAGGAATTTTTGTTACTCTCGGATACTACCCACCTGTTCAGACTGAATAAAATATTTGTGGTGCTGTCAACCTGATTCTTTGACTCTCAAGTGATTTATGTATTCCAATACCAATGTTTGTGTTATGAATTTCTGATTTCTCCAATAGCATATGCCACTATATAAATTTGTATTAATAAATGACAGTGTGGTCGCGTTTTTTTGTTTGTTTGTTTGTTTTTGCTATGTCCTTTTTAGATTATTCATCTCATTAACATAAGACATTGCCATCGAGATGGCAAAATCATTCTGAAATTTGAGGCAAAGTTTTTTGGAGACTGCCCCTCTGATGGGATTGAATCTCAGAAACATGTTAACTGTGCTAAAAACAAAACGAAGAATAAATTACATGTCCCCAGATCATCATAGCTCTTTTTTTTTTTTTTGGCAATCATTTGAAATCCCAGGACAAAAAGGAATAATTTAAAAATCTCCATGAGCAATGCTATAAGATGACTATTCACACGATATTTATAATCGTCAAACTTTCTCAGGATACTTGATCTAATGTGAAAATGGCTATGTCCTTTTATGTACCCACACAGATTTGTTAACAGCCTGGAGATTACCAAAGCACCAAATAAGAGTTTATAAGGGAAAACTGGCAGAGTCAGAGTGGGACTGAGCCCATGTGGTCTCGGAAGTCTGCAAGCCTGTGTATTTGTGCGCCTTTCCCTCTGTGCTATTGGTGTGTGTGTGTGTGTGTGTGTGTGTGTGTGTGTGTGTGAGTGTATGGTCAAGGATGGTGACCAGCAGAGCTCTGTTGATACCTTTTCGTGGTAAATTTGCAACCTCAGCAAAACTTGAGAAAGCATGTGTTCATAAAATCTGGGAAAAAGACACCACGACCAAGCTGGGGATTTCCTTAGATGCTGCCAGGGATTTACCAGAAGCTTCATTCACTTCCTCACAATTTCCTATGATTGTCCCTTGCCTCACAGCAGCCTCTAAGCCCTAGAGTGCATTTCTCATGGGTCTATAGAGAAGCCATATCAGATAATAATCTATGAATTGTTAGGGTTGGCTATGAAAATACTTCCTAAGACCTGAAAATTTGTAACTATAGCATTTAGGAAAACTTGGGAGTAAGTGGCAGAAAATGAGTTCTCATTTAGATTTTGCAATATCTCACAGACTAGGATTTTGAAGCAATTCTGAGAGCAAGAGAGGGAGACCATATTGAGAATATCTCACTAGGTTCAACCCCATATAATTGTTGAGTTGATAGGTTAAAAATAGTCCAATATCAGTAGTGTTATGTGTTTTAACCTAATATTAAGATGCCATTAAATGTCAATGAAAGAAACATCCAAACCTGTAGAAAGCCCTAGTAAGAATTTATTTGAGCCAAAATTTTGAGGACATGCCCCAAAGCAAGATCTCGATGGATAGAGAAAATGCTTCAGAGAAAGGCAGTTTTACAGTTCTTTTTATACATTTAGAATCAAAGGAGAAAAAGTGTAAGGAAGGTTACATGAAATCTATTGGTGGTAAATTAAGGAGGTGGGAAGAAAAAGTGGGGCAATCTCTAGGATTACATAAAAAGGAAAATGGAAAGATACATACTTTTTTATACTGGTGGGCACAGAATAAACAATTACAGCGAATAGAGATGGTATGTGGACAAGAATAAAACATGCTCTGTTGCCTGTTTTTGAAGAGTCTAGAAGACAAAAATACTCTGATATTTCAAAGGTATATTATCCTAGATGCACAAGAACAATAGACAGGAATCCCTTACGGTAAAGATTAACCTTTTACTCAGAATACTACAGGCCTGGGATGTGACTACCACCATGACCTACCCAGTCAGAAGTTAATATTCAGATCATCCTGTGTAGTTATTTTTGGTCGCTGGGCTCGTCAGGTCTGTATAGTCCTTTATTTGTTCACACAATGGTGTGTAATAGAGGCTCTGTCCCCAAGTAAGCCCGAGAGAACTCTAACTAGGAGGAGCCCTTTAGATTGACCTCCTGAGAGGCTAGTAAAATTCTAGGGACAATATCAAGTAATATAGTGGTCATGCCTGGCAATCAAGAGCGATGACTCGTTTACACTCTCTGCCTCATTCACTCCACACAACCACCTGACAAGAGAGCTCTAGGCGATTGTCCTGGATAATTTTCTTTGAAAGTTCCATATGAATCTCAGGATTTCAGAGCCCTGCCAAAAGGCCTTCACAAGCTTAAAATTAGTCCAAAGCCCATATAACTTGGATTTAATGCTTGTCATGAAATATTCAGTCACTTGACTGATATAACAGGACGGACCCATGCTGCAACTCTCTCTAAAATAACTAGCTGAGTGTGATCCCTGAGCTGGTTTTGGTTTAAAGCCACAAAGTTTCAAGACCAGTAAGTTATAAAATTTTACTAGAATCCCAGTCTCTGGGAAAATTTCCATAAATAGTTAAAAAACAGTTTCAAGATGTCTCCCCTAAACATCTCACTAAGAGATGTGTCCCAAATGAGCCAATGCTCGGTCACAGTGACTCACTAAAGTCCCCGTGCTGCTTATTCTGTCTCCACACAGATTCTCTGCCCTGTTTAGGCTCCAGGAAGCTGATTTTATCAACTGCTTCTCCGAAGCAACCTTGCTCCTTGGCTTCTTGTTGGGAGAGAAGTTGGGGTGTGTCCATTGCACTACCTTGTCCCCTATCCTACTCGCCCCACCCCCACCATCCCCATGCTGTGCTGTGGTTCTGGTGGTGTCTGCATCTCTCCTGGACCACAGGTCCTGTTAGATGGCCCCTCTTCAGTCCAGTTCTCGAAGGCTCTGATAACACCGTCCCTCCCTTTTCCATGCAGACCTACGGGTCATAATGATGTCACCCTGTTCCTAGTCCTCGGGGTTTCATCGCCCCTGTGGATTCCTTCAACTTAATTAATCCAGCCCACATGTCTGTAAATAGTCCCTTTTAAAAACTCATTATTCAAACCCTTGAGTATGCTGTTTCTCTTCTGCCAGAGCCCTTAAACTGTCCTTAAATTCTGTGCCGTTTGGTTATAGTAGTCTAATATAAACCAGAAACAAACACTTGAACTCAAATCATGTCTTAATTTTAAAGTTGCCAGTGATTATAATTGACTGTATACTGATAAATATTTCACAACCAGCTTTTGGAGTCAGGAGAGGCCTGATTTTGTCGCATTTGCTAGTTTTCTAGTTTTCTATGCCCTGTCATGCCAAATTCAACCTGCCTGCATAATATCATGGAGTTGGGAAGAGATGCACAGGAAACCTTTCATAGTAGTATTTCTATTGCACAAAAATAATAGATGTGCACGACTGCAAGAGCATCAATAATAGTAAAATATAGTAAAATAATTAGGAACTGATTTTTAGTATTTTTGTTTGTAACATAACTTATTTAATTGTGTTTATTTAAATATATAACTTTAATAATGGCTATGTTTAACAACTGGCTTGTAAAATTCCTGAAAATTTAGCAATTGGCTCTCGTATGCCAAGCCAGCTGAGCACACCACTGTAAAAGCAAACATATCTAGTATCCACAAACATGTGGTCAATTAAATCTGCTTTTACTAGTTTTTGCCTCACATTTTGCCAAAAATTACCTCAATAATTTTGCTCCAAAATCTTATATTTGGCTCTCAAATTGTTCTGTTTAGCAGACAGAGAAGGTGATATAAGAAAATTAGCTTCTTATAAAACTATAAAGTAGTTTTATATTCAGACTGGTGAAAATTTTATCAAATAATCTTTTCTGGATTTTTTTTAAATGACTATAAACCTGGATTCTGGGATTTTAACATTTATCATTATTACCATTATTATAATCTAACATTTCCTTCTGAGGAAATTCATCCTTAGGGGGAAAACTAGTTTTACAATCATGCTATAGCATGATTCTAGTCTACATAGTGGTAACTGGGCAGTTGTTACAGCTGGAATAATTTACAAAATAGTTAGAGTGCATTTTATTTTAATGTTGCCATCCTGAAACCAAAGATCGTAAACTCTGAATCTGGAACAATTAAAATAAATCCTATAGAAACACTACCTGTTACCTATTTCCTTCTGTGGAACACAACCTGTGGAAGTTACCACACTGCTCCAAGCCTGTCTCTGTATTTGAAAAACAGAGGTGACCACATCTCATTTACGCTGGTTAGTAAGCATGAAATGAGACCATGTGTGCAAAGTGCATTCCTCAATGTCTGGCATAAACAACAGGTTCTCAATACATACCCACTCCTGCCCATATGCTAATCCCAGAATTTTCCAGGATGAGGTAGGACCTAGTCTATTGTGGCGATCTCTGAATGGGTATCAGGAATTACAAGGCAGATCGGAAGGCGGAAGACCATCTCTCTTCCCTCTAGACAGAAAGCTCATCACATTAGATTTGTAAGTCTGGTGCAAAGCTGATGAGCTCTGGCTTTTAAGCAAGCCTGTCTCCATGGCAGTAACCCTTCCACTTAAGGAAGGATGTCTTCTTAAACCAGTGGTCCTTAAGCTGTAGGGTCCATCAGAATTACCTGGAGGGCTCATTAAGACAGTAGTATGTCTGGCGTAGAATCTGAGGGGATTTTCTCTTCTAACCAGCTCCCCGCTTGGAGGACCACTGCTGTGGTTTCTTCAGTTCACGCACTGCAGTCTAAGCCAGTGATTTTCATCTGAGTCCCAGCACCTCCTGTATTGGCTAAAGGGGTACCATGTGTTCTCCTGCTGCAAGACTAGAAAAAAAAAATGTATTCTGATAGTTTAAGTCACTCTAGATAAACCAAACCAAAAGTTTACAAACATCTAAATGACAGTTCATTAGTCCTAATCCTTTTCTTCAGGTTAGTATTTTCACTAAAACTTTTCTCAGGATAACCACAGTTGTAGTAAGGCCGTTTGATGCCATGATTGAGAAATATGAGGCACACTAATTTAAAATTAAAAAGAAACTAATGACAAAGTTCAGATTTTTCAAATTGCATTGCCTTTTATTTTTTTTTGGTTTAGTTGGCACTTTATTGCCTTAGTAAAAATTTACAAATTTATAAGATATTGTAAATGAATGTAAGAAAGATATTTTTTACATTAGTGATGAGTTCCAATATCAGAAATATCTTTATTCATTCTGGAATAATCAACCAATTAAAAAAAATGAAAACAAGCAAACTACAAAGAAAACTGGAATATGTG